AGCTCCCAGCAAACAGAACTGAATTCAACTAGTTTGTTTACGTAAACACCTAGCTCCCAGCAAACAGAACTGGATTCAACTAGTTTGTTTACGTAAACACCTAGCTCCTAGCAAACAGAACTTGATTCAACTAGATTGTTTTACACTCTTACAAACTATGCCAGAATTAAATGTATCAAAATGCAAAAAATGAACTTCTTATCATTTCTAAGGAACGTAATTTGCCAGAATCTTAATGCAAATAAAAACCGGAGTGTAAATGTATAGCACATAAATTCCAATAGAAGAGGATCATTCGATGGCGTTCCGTCCCGGTTTGCCTGACATAGTCTCTAATTGTACTATACAGATTGCTCTAGCTGGTTAAAAGTAAGCCTGATTCTTAAAATGAACCTCTCTCATTGTAATGTACAGATTGCTCTAGCTGGTTAAAAGTAAGCCCGATTCTTGAAATGAACCTCTCTCATTGTACTGTACAGATTGCTCTAGCTGGTTAAAAGTAAGCCTGATTCTTAAAATGAACCTCTCTAATTTTACTGTACAGATTGCTCTAGCTGGTTAAAAGTGAGCCCGATTCTTGAAATGAACCTCTCTCATTGTACTGTACAGATTGCTCTAGCTGGTTGAAAGTAAGCCTGATTCTTGAAATGAACCTCTCTAATTGTACTGTACAGATTGCTCTAGCTGGTTAAAAGTAAGCCTGATTCTTGAAATGAACCTCTCTCATTGTACTGTACAGATTGCTCTAGCTGGTTGAAAGTAAGCCTGATTCTTGAAATGAACCTCTCTAATTGTACTATACAGATTGCTCTAGCTGGTTAAAAGTAAGCCTGATTCTTGAAATGAACCTCTCTTACAGATTGCTCTAGCTGGTTAAAAGTAAGCCTGATTCTTGAAATGAACCTCTCTCATTGTACTGTACAGATTGCTCTAGCTGGTTAATAGTAAGCCCTGTTCTTGAATTGAACCTTTTTAACTGTATTGTACAGATTGCTCTGGCTGGTTAAAAGTAAGCCCGATTCTTAAAATGAACCTCTCTAATTGTACTTTACAAATTGCTATAGCTGGTATAAAGTAAGCCTGATTCCAAAGAGAACAGAATATATATGAGAGTTAAAAGTAAGCCTGATTCCAAAGAGAACAGAATATATATGAGAGTTAAAAGTAAGCCTGATTCCAAAGAGAACAGAATATATATGAGAGTGGAATTTAAACAATCCCTAGGTATGAATTTTTTCAGTCCCTTTCAGCCTGAAAGGGAGTTCAAAGTGTACAAATCGTGTAAATGTTCACAAATTATATGCAGTAGAGTACATTAATACAGTATGTTCCCTAGACTATCCATTTCAATTTCGAATTTTTTAAAGCTGTTAAATAAACTTTATAAAATTAATTAGGTGAATAAAAAACATCATTTGATTTATAGCTATAACGGAAAATCATCGTTTGTAAAGTGAAAGGCATAGTGAAATGGTCATTGGTCAATTATGAAACCAGCCTATTTCATAATTTGGTTTTCTTTTAATATTAATTTTAGATTTTCTATAAAATGATGTTCCAAGGCCCAACAGGTTATATACCAAAAATATGTGAAGTACACCTGCAGTATGGAAACAGTACAACAAAATGGCCGTTTTACACTTTTTTCTACTAAATTCCACTCTAATATATTCTATTCTCTTTGCCTGTTTCTTAAAATGAACCTCTCTAATTGTTCTGTACAGATTGCTCTAGCTGGTTAAAAGTAAGCCCGGTTCTTGAAATGAACCGGATTTACAGTGATAGTAGCATCTCGTCTATATACAGATGATGAAAAGAACTTCTTAGGGTCGATCTACTGGTGGACAATACTTGTCATATAGTACTTGTTGATTAATATATCATAGTAATAAAAAGGTTTTATTTTTAACTATCAATTATACATGTTTTTACATTATTATTAACAACATTAACAATTATTCTTTAGCTCTATTTTTCTACAATTAGGATGAAAAATAAACAAGAATTTTCTGTTCAAAACATTCAATTATGTCTTTATCAAATAACGCCACTAGAATTATTATAACAAATGTACTCAACCTATTGAGGAACATCATTAGTGAAATATTAGTAAATGATGGAAATATGTAAAGACAAATTGCGTAGATAAAACCAATAACAAAATTGATGGTTATAAAACTACTCGTCTTCAGACAGTGTTGTTTGAAGTTGTTCCTCATCACTTTTGTAAAATCCGTCATTTTATTGGTTGAACTTTCAGGACTCTTATCCTTTCTACTAGCAGTCTCTATGCTTTTCCTGTTCAACGTAGAATTAGCAGTTGATTGAAGTACAGAAAGGTTTTGTGCGTCGTCTCTTTCTATAATGCCATCTTCAGTACTTATGGTTGGATCATCATTTACTTGATCCCTTCTGATGCCTGGATCATCATGTACATCACCCCTTATTATGGTTGAATCATCATTTACTTGATCCCTTCTAATGTTTGTATCCTCATGTACTTGATCCCTTCTGATGGTTGAATTATCATTTACTTGATCCTTTCTGATTGTTGGATCATCATGTGCTTGATCCCTTCTGATGGTTGGAGCATCATGTACTTGATCCCTTCTGATGGTTGGATCATCATGTACTTGATCCCTTCTGATGGTTGGAGCATCATGTACTTGATCCCTTCTGATGGTTGTATCATCATGTACTTGAACCCTTCTGATGGTTGGATCATCATGTACTTGAACCCTTCTGATGCTTGGATCATCATGTACTTCACCCCTTATTATGGTTGAATCATCATTTACTTGATCCCTTCTGATGTTTGGATCCTCATGTACTTTGTCCCTTCTGATTTTTGGATCATCTTGTACTTGATCCCCCCTTCTGATGCTTAAATCATCATTTACTTGATCCCTTCTGATGGTTGGAGCATCATGTACTTGATCCCTTCTGATGGTTGGATCATCATGTACTTGATCCCTTCTGATGGTTGAATCATCATTTACTTGATCCCTTCTGATGTTTGGATCCTCATGTACTTTGTCCCTTCTGATTTTTGGATCATCTTGTACTTGATCCCCCCTTCTGATGGTTGGATCATCATGTACTTGATCCCTTCTGATGGTTGGATCATCATGTACTTGATCCCTTCTGATGGTTGGAGCATCATGTACTTGAACTCTTATCAACAAAGTTGATCCTTGATTTCTTGTCAAGTTTCTATCAGAAACCACTAAAGAGGAATTATTGTGATTGTCTTGATCTTCTCTGTCTGACAAACAATCCTGACTCATCAATTTCCGAGGCGTCGCTGTCATAAAAGAGGAATCTGTTTTGATTGATTGGGTATCTTTTATTCTCTCAGCTTCAACATTTAAGTCCTGCACCTTGTGTAATGAACTTGAGTGTCCTCCATTTTCTAATGAACCCAAGTGTCCTCCATTTTCTAATGAACCTAAGTGTCCTCCATCTTGTAATGAACCTGAGTGTCCTCCATTTTGCAGACTTTGTGAAATTTTGCCAGCTTTCTTCTTTTTGTATTCCTTTACGACAGAATATATGAAACGAGCCAATTCCATGAAAATAGCTGACAATATGACAAGCTGGATAACTGGTAGATCATAGCAGATCTTGTGTGATTCATCTTCTTCTTTGGCTAAGGTTTGGGATGAATTACCTATTCTAATTTCATCGATTCCTGTTTCAACACTAAAGTGAATCAACATGTTAGATCTTTTCAGATCATCTCCACAAACCGTCCATATATAAATGAGATCAAGGGAGCCAACACAGAGCGTCACAAATCCTACAACCATGGCTCCTATAGTTGGTTGTAGTCGGTGAAAAATGACAGGGTTGGTAAAGAGTAGAAATCTTCCCGCTGATAACCCACTTGCCAGGCACACGAATAGTATCTTGTAGTATCTACTGCCTATGAGGAATATAATACCTGGATTAGATTCAATGATTTCTACAAGTTGGTGATTCCAAAAGCAGGCAACGGCAGACACAAGAAAGTCTCGTGTAGACTTTAAGATAAGCGTTGCTATAATAAGAACAAGAATTCTGTTAATAATGTTTTTGTTAGAGGCAGATCTGGTGTTAAGGAAATAGATTACAAAACTTGAAACTGCAATAGTGACAGGGTATGCCAGGCAGTTGATAGTGAATGTGTATAGATTGGGGATAGGTGGTACTATTAGTACTGCACAGGAGTAGATTAGTACGCAGATTATTTTAATTGATGTTTTATCGTTCATGGCACCCTTGTTCCACTCTCTAATAACACTGTCGTATTCTTTACAGCTAGCAGCACCCTTCTCTCTTCATCTCTGTTGACAGAGAACAGTTATTGATGTTGCTAGGATAGATCCAATTATTTTTAAATAATTTATGTATACACTCAATAAATTGGTTGCTTGTTAACAAAACGCAATAAAGGGATGTATATCTTGTTTAAATACATTTTTCGAACTTAGATAACTAATGTTATCTGATTTTATGAGGGTCTCAAATAAGGCGAGTTCTTTAAAAATGTCTTAAATCCAAGAGTTATTCCTATTTCAGAATTTTCTGGTTATCACTGTATATATAGTGAATGTACACCATTTTCAATCAAGCCAAAATGGCAAACTCAAATTGTTAGAACTTTCTCAATTTTTGTGCTACATAACTCTGATTGATATACCAATCCATGACGTGAGCCTTCGCACCAAGAAGAGTGTTTTTCGGGACACCTCGTATATTTTGTTTAACTTGCAGGATCTTAAATTGATATTTTGTTTTAATGACATTACTACATGCTTACAGAGGGACCCATAAAACAGTGGAAGTGGGGTGTACACAACCCCATTTCACTTAATAACTTTATTTTAAAGCAACTGGTCAAACTATTTGCTTTATGACGTCAAATACACACGGGATTGATTAAATGTCGTCTTACTATCTCACAGTTGTATGGGTCTCGCTGTAAAAAATAATTCCTGACCGTTTTATAACATGCATAGTAAAAATACTATTTTTATTCTGAATATATCTTATTTTGCATAAAATATCTCATCAAATGTATCTGGGTTCAAAGTTTAATTTTTCAATTATGGAGGAAGCTTGTATCTCAGATTTTAAAGTTTAGCTCTATAGTTGTTTGTATAGAGTTGAGCGAAGTCTGGAGTAGAGAATGAACCAGGAGTAGAATAAAAAGATTGCTCCATCAGCTCGTAAACTTTTCCACTAAAAATGTAATGTTTAAAACCTTGAAGAAGAAATTAAATCAGGAGGACAATAGAGCCTGGATTAACCGAGAATAGAATAAATTAAAGGATTTATCAGAGACGGACAGAATACCTGGATATATCAGAGACAGACAGAATACCTGGATTTATCAGAGACAGACAGAATACCTGGATATATCAGAGACAGACAGAATACCTGGATATATCAGAGACAGACAGAATACCTGGATTTATAAGAGACGGACAGAATACCTGAATTTATCAGAGAAAGACAGAATACCTGGATTTATCAGAGACAAACAGAATACCTGGATATATCCGAGACGGACAGAATACCTGGATTTATCAGAGACAGACAGAATACCTGGATATATCAGAGACAGACAGAGACCTGGATATATCAGAGACGGACAGAATACCTGGATATATCAGAGACAGACAGAATACCTGGATCTATCAGAGAATGAATACTTGGATTGAGCAATGATGGATTGAATACCTGGATTGATCAAGGATGGATTGAATAACTGGATTGATCAAGTATGGATTGAATACCTGGATTGACCAAGGATGGATTGAATGATAAAGTCTGGTGGAGCAAGAACATCAGTAAGAGCTATAGCTTCAGGCACCAATTTCCTGGTTAGAAAGGAATGAACTATATTAATCTGTACCACATTTAATCAATTAATTCAATTTATTGAAAGTGTATATTTAAACTGTTACTGACCTAAACTCAACTGGCAACAAAATGGTACAGTAAATCTTTATATGTAATAAAAACATTTAATATCTTATACCTGCAGAGTTGTATAACCTTGGTCCGAACCTTGCTCAAACAGGACCCAGAGATAACTCCATGGATAAGTAGATCTGAACCCAACTCCTAAATAATTGAAAAATAGTCCTTAAATTAATATCTGTAATCGTGTTTCAGCATACCCTCACAAAACTTACTTAATTTCTTATTTCAAAATCGAAAAAATTATTTATAAATGTATTTTTTTATTTCACTGACTGCTCATATAGGACTAGTTAGGATCATTTTTCTACTCATATAGGACTAGTTAGGATCATTTTACTACTCATATAGGACTAGTTAGGATCATTTTACTTTGTGGATTTAATCTGCAAACATTTCTTGTTCCCTTTGAGGCTCTGACCAAAAGAAAAGAAAAGTTTAAGGTTGGCAAAACCCTTGCAGCTGAGCCCAAGTGTAAACTTAACTGTTTAGAGAGTTTAAATGGTAATATGTTTGACTTGGATTTCATACCTCAACAACCCACAGAGAATACAGATTACAGAGCAGATTCAGTACGGAGAACTCAGGGTTATCCCTAGTATACTCCGTAAACCTGGAATATATCCCTAGAAAACACTGTAAACATAGAATATATCTCTAGTATACACTGTAAACCTGTAATGCATCTCTAGTATACACTGTAAACCTGGAATACATCTCTGGTATACACTGTAAACCTGGAATATATCTCTAGTATACACTGTAAACCTGGAATATATCTCGAGTATACACTGTAAACCTGGAATATATCTGTAGTATACACTGTAAACCTGGAATATATCTCTAGTATACTCCGTAAACCTGGAATATATCTCTAGTATACACTGTAAACCTGGAATATATCTCGAGTATACACTGTAAACCTGGAATATATTTCTAGTATACTCCGTAAACCTGGAATATATCTCTAGTATACACTGTAAACCGGAATATATCTCTAGTATACATTGTAAACTTGGAATATATCTCGAGTATACACTGTAAACCTGGAATATATCTCTAGTATACTCCGTAAACCTGGAATATATCTGTAGTATACACTGTAAACCTGGAATATATCTCTAGTATACTACGTAAACCTGGAATATATCTGTAGTATACACTGTAAACCTGAAATATATCTCGAGTTTACACTGTAAACCTGGAATATATCTCTAGTATACACTGTAAACCTGGAATATATCTCGAGTTTACACTGTAAACCTGGAATATAACTCTAGTATACACTGTAAACATGGAATATATCTCTAGTATAAACTGTAAACCTGGAATATATCCCTAGTATACTCCGTAAACCTGGATTATATCTCCAGTATACTCCGTAAGCCTTGAATATATATCTAGTATACATTGTAAACCTAGAATAGATCTCTAGTATACACTGTAAACCTGGAATATATCTCTAGTATACTCCGTAAACCTTGAATATACTAACCTCTGTATAACTACTGCTTGAATGTAAACCAAGGAAAGAGTTCTCGCTAGATGAAATTGTGAATTACCTCTCACAAGAAACTTATCAGAACCTATTACAGTATGTATTTTATGTAAAGGGTTACCTTAAAAAAATGAGACCTTATAATGATGACCTAAAATATTCATACATTTGTTTAAACTTAACTATTCATGTAGGTATGTACATTATACAATGTTACCCACAAAGAATGAGACTACAATAACGACCTGAATCTCTTTTATTATAACAACATGAAGGTTTCTACTAAACTATAAAAATAATAAGTGGAAGGGTATCCTGGGAGTGATTTAATTCCTTAGAGTCGTTTCTAAAATATCATTCATTGTGGGTAGCCCTGAACCCTGTGAAACATATTTTGTTTTCAATGACTGTCCAGTGTCCGTCTATATGGTGAATGCATAAAAATCTGAATCTGAAAATATTGACAAGAAATTGTAAAATTGAATTCAATGACGTGTAAGGACATGTCTCAAATCTTAAGGAGTAGAGCAGAGAATCAATTGTTGAAAAAATAGAATATAGAAAGTATTTCCACGTATCCTACGAACCACTATAGCACATACAGTGTTACTAAAAAATAATGACTTTTGTCTTTATATATATATATATATTTGCCTTGTCTTTTCGGTTTGTTTCTTTATAAAAAAAACTCGCATGACCCCAGGGAAGGTTGGAACCATCAAAATAATTTCCAATTAAAAAAAGTTTCACTAATTCTCCAATAAAAAAGAAAATCAGCAATGATGACCTTGTTATTTTTCTTATTTTCTATTTTCTTTAAAAACATGTGTTGCCATTATTTTTCAGTAAAACCTTTTTTGACAATTCTGCATTAAAAGCCCATGAGTTGGGTTTATAGTTAAGCAGTATCCCAGAATCAAGTGTCAGATTATACATAAGATGGCATCAACATTAATATACTTTTAAGTGAATTAAGTGACAAAATATATAACTATTCAAAAGTGCTAATTGTTGAATTTGTTTCTTTGCATAGATACAGGGTAACCCACAAAGGATGAGACTGTAAAGACGACCGGAAACTCTTGAAATATGACAGTCCCCGGGTTAGTTTATGTATTCTGCCCTAGATTCCTTAGATATGGTAATCTAATGGCATATTCAATGATATGGCAAAGAAACAAATAAGTTTACAGTTGCAGTGTAAATTTCGCACAATCGTCTCTGAAGTTTCATTCTTTGTGAGTAACCCTGTAGGTCAAACTATGAATTCTGTTGGATCAAAAAGACTGCGTTTGAAATATCAAAGGTTTACATCATCAGGTTGCAAAGATATAGGGATTAGAAAATTTGAGTTTGTGGCAAAGAATCACTTTCTTTCAACCATTAGCACTTTTTAATATAAAATTTTTTTATTTAAATCCTTGTTATGATGTTGACTACATGAATACATGAGAGGGCATCAGATCTATAATATATTTAGGATATCTGCCCTTGTCAATAAACCTCTCAAGAGGACGGGAAACCTATAATAGAGGAGGTAGAGGGGGGGGGGGTTAAATGCAATTTATATCTTATATACTTATATACATAGTTTTCCTTCAAGTTTCAGTTTGCTTAGTTCTTCTTGGGTCGTCTTTAACAAGCTGACCAACAAACACCTGCTCAAATCAAATATATTTTTTCCCATTATTTAAAAATTAATCAATATAGACCAGTTCAGTTTAAGAGGGGTTAAAACTAAATTGATAAATATCTAACGACTTAGTCCTAAAATTCGATGTTTTTGCCTTAAAATCCGTTCGCTCCGTTCTAAAATCGTTTTTTCCGTCCTCAAATTCTATCTCAGCTACCTATCCTAAGATTATTACTATTCGTCCTCAAATCTAAACTTTCCGTCCTGAAAAATCATATATTTTGAATAAAAATCCTCTTTCTCCGACCTATTGTCCTTAAAATGATTCCTAAATCTAGTCTCTAAATCCCAAAATCTAATTTCTCCGTCCTAAAATCCTATTATCTGTCCTGAAATCATATTTCTCCGTCCTAATATCCTATTATCTGTCCTGAAATCATATTTCTCCGTCCTAAAATCCTATTATCTGTCCCAAAATCTAATTTCTTCGTCCTAAAATCCTATTATCTGTCATGAAATCATATTTCTCCGTCCTAATATCCTACCTTCCTTCATTTCGTCCTAAAATGCTTGCTTTCCGTCCTAAAATCTAATATATAATTTTTCCGTCCTGTAACCTTATATATATTTTTTCCGTTCTAAAATAACATTACACTTTCTAAAATCCTATCTCTCCGCCGTCAAAACCTTTCTTTAAGTCCTTTAGTCCTACCTTTCTATCCTAAAATCCTTCCTTTCCATCTTAAAAATCCTTTCTTTTCATTCTAAAATCCTGCTTTTCCGTCCTATCATCCGTCTTAGCTTCCATCTTATCTACAGTCTTATCATCCGTCTTATCTTCCGTCTTATCTTCCGTCTTATCTTCCGTCTTATCTTCCGTCTTATCTACCGTCTTATCTTCCGTCTTATCTTCCGTCTTATCTTCTGTCTTATCTTCCGTCTTCTCCGAATTTATATATTTAATAATTGCTCTTTGTAAGAAACAAATCTGCCCTAAAAACATTCAAGCATTAATATTTGCTGAAGAGAACTCGACTAAAGTTGTGAGTTTTTAATTAGTTTTGCTGCTTCAGCTTATAAAGATAATAAAATTGAATTAAGATTAATTCTAGAAGATATGGAAATGTTAAAACTTAAGACATTCTCAAACTTAGGATTTGAATAGAAAACTCAATGAATTTTACTCAATGAATACTGAATACATTAAATACTTTTGCATTTTAAATTCTTTAACACAAAAGATAACAAGAGATATAACCCACAATAAAAAACTTTATTTAGATTTAAAAACCCAAAAAATTTTTTAAGTATTTCATTTTCCTAGTCGCGTGAAGTGCAAAGTCGGAGTTCAATTCTGTCTCGGACAAACTCGTATTTTTCTGGAAATCCTTAAAACAAAATAATTTTAAGGATCAAAGTGTCAAGGATCAATGTTTATATAACATACATACATACATAGGTTTTAGGTAACCAGGAGAAGGTCTAGTATAAAACCTGTAAACAGGAGAAGGGTTAGTATAACCTGTAACCTAGAGAAGGTCTAGTATATAATCTGTAACCAGGAGAAGGTTTATTATATAACATGTAACCAGGAGAAGGTCTAGTATATAATCTGTAACCAGGAGAAGGTCTAGTATATATCCTGTAACCAGGAGAAGATCTAGTATATATCCTGTAACTAGGAGATGCCTAGTATATAACCTGTAACCTGGAGAAGATCTAGTATATGTCCTGTAACTAGGAGAAGGTCTAGTATATAACCTGTAATCAGGAGAAGGTCTAGTGTATACCATGTAACTAGGAGAAGATCTAGTATATAACCTGTAACCAGGAGAAGGTCTAGTATATAACCTGTAACCAGGAGAAGATCTAGTTTATATCCTGTAACTAGGAGAAGGTCTAGTATATAACCTGTAATCAGGAGAAGGTCTAGTATGTAACATGTAACTAGGAGAAAGTCTAGTATATAACCTGTAACCAGGAGAATGTCTAGTATATAACCTGTAACCAGGAGAAGATCTAGTATATAACCTGTAACCAGGAGAAGGTCTAGTATATAACCTGTAACTAGGAGAAGGTCTAGTATATAACATGTAACCAGGAGAAGGTCTAGTATATATCCTGTAACCAGGAGAAGATCTAGTATATAACCTGTAACCAGGAGATGGTCTAGTATATAACCTGTAACCTGGAGAAGATCTAGTATATAACCTGTGACTAGGAGAAGGTCTAGTACATAACCTGTAACCAGGAGAAGGTCTAGTATATAACCTGTAACCAGGAGAAGGTCTAGTATATAACCTGTAACCAGGAGAAGGTCTAGTATATAACCTGTAACCAGGAGATTGTTTAGTATATAATCTGTAACCTGGAGAAGGTCTAGTATATAACCTGTAACTAGGAGAAGGTCTAGTATATAACCTGTAACCAGGAGAAGGTCTAGTATATAACCTGTAACCAGGAGATTGTTTAGTATATAATCTGTAAGGAGAAGGTCTAGTATATAACCTGTAACTAGGAGAAGGTCTAGTATATAACCTGTAACCAGGAGAAGATCTAGTATATAACCTTTAACCAGGAGAATGTGTAGAATATTACCTGTAACCAGGAGATGGTCTAGTATATATTCTGTACCTAGGAGAAGGTCTAGTATATATCCTGTAACTAGGAGAAAGTCTAGTATGTAACATGTAACCAGGAGAAGATCTAGTATATAACCTGTAACCAGGAGATGGTCTAGTATATATCCTGCAGCTAGGAGAAGGTCTAGTATATAACCTGTAACTAGGAGAAGGTCTAGTATATAACATGTAACCAAGAGAAGATCTAGTATATAACCTTTAACCAGGAGAAGGTCTAGAATATTACCAGTAACTAGGAGAAGGTCTAGTATATAACCTGTAACCAGGAGAGTGTTCCTGCGGGAGTATTTGTATTCCTGTTTACAAGGTTTAGTATCCAGTTACTGGTCTGCTGTAGGAGAACATTATTATCTCCTTCATAAGTACAGTTTGCATCGTTATCATCCCTAACGTATTAACAACAAATATATATATATAAATTGTTGATACTTTTTTGATTTTCTACTAAAAATCATTTATTTCCTCCAATTCGAAGGAATACCCTAAAACATGTTTTGCTTTCCGCGAGAAAAAATACAACCCTGAGGAAACCCTGTATAAATAAAGGTTGAATTCTACCTAATTTTCCCAAATCTTGCTGCAGAAAGATAGCCGTGCCCTCCACAAGCCTCCCTTGTAAATAATATAAATGATTTCAAAATATTAATCCATGTATTTGTGGCGTGTTTATATCCGATAAACATCAAACTTACGACTGAACCGAGGGGACCGACATTTTTTGTAGGACCTCAAAAATTTACTAATATATGTACATAGGAAAATTTACAAATATTTATATGAAAATTTGCAATATTCCATATTGTTAACATTTATTTATGTACGACGTGATCGTAAGTGAAGCAACAGTAAAAATTAATTGAAAAAATTACAAGATAGAGGGTTGTTAAGTGCTTTAGAAACAAAGCATTATTATATAGAATCTAAATTTTCCTTTCCTGAAAATTGATAAAGCATCCAAATTATTCAGAAAAGTGACAATATCGTTTTCTTTTTAATGATGCCTACAGCTTGTTTCATTTCATTTTATTTTATTTTAAGTTTGATTTCACTAGATGGCCGCGTTCGTTTATTTTTTACTTGGTTTGTTCATTGTTCTTTAATGACCCATTGCGCTCGTTTTTTTTCTTCAGGCGTTTAGTAAAAGTTTAAATTTGTTCACTAGCTGAGATCATTTTTCTTTCTATTAAGTTCGTTTTTTAACTGGGCGTTCATTCCGCGAAATCGTACATTCGGTGACATCCTTCGTTCGGTGAAATCGTTCGTTTAGCTAATTCGCTTGTTCATTAAAACATTTTTTCACTAAAAGATTAGGTTAGGTCAGGGTTTAAAGTTTTTAAATCGTTCGTGAACGATAAAGTTTGTGGCCGATTTCTAAATCGTTGATTAAAGAACAATTTGGATATCATTCGTTCACGGACTGACTGAAATAAAATAAGTTCGATAGTCAAGATTTTAAAATCATTAGTTTTATTAGTTAATTAGTAAGTGTTAGATAGGCCAAACTGTCTTCGGTCCAATTTCACAGCTTTCGTCAGGAACAGCGTGGGTTTTTAATAAAAGATATAATTTTGGAGCACTGTAACTTGCATTATAAGTATTTACTACCTGGCTTCTTGGACAGCACGTTGAGCTGACCAGCTAGCGAGTGGTTTAGCTGCACTACTCAACCCATGGATTTCCATTCCTAGATCTGCCAGCATACCTTCATCCTCTCCTGTCATCCGTCCCACCAATAACCGGACAAAATCCTCATACAAACTTAAGCTAAATATAACAAGAAAATATTAAAGATGATCGTTCAAAAGGGTCGTGCTACGGTGCTCTATAAACGGAAAATGTACAAGTATTTTGATCGCAATCGCAGGAAAATATTATAGGACTTTTTATTATATTATATTTTACTTTAGGAATCCCCCCCCTCACAGTTAAAATAAATCACGGTGCCCCCCTCTCCCCATCAATATTAGACAAAAATAGCCAATATGGGATATAGGTTAAGGATAGTATTATTTTATAAATCTATGAAACTGTCAGGAAGTATACCTGAAATGATGGAGAGCAAAGCAAGCTGCCAGATGAGGCATCAGTCTTCTAAACATTATCATTATTATTATCATAAACAGACATCCCTGCATTCGATGAAATATAAGTCAGCACTCATAGCAGACGAAACATATCCAATATCCATGGACATTGGACAACGAGGTACGCAAAACCCTTAGAGAAGACTCACAACAGTCGGTATAGCTCAGACAGTTCCATTTATGGAAACTCTATAGGTGAAGTAAACGCCTTACTCCTATAAACGCTTATAAACATGTATCAATCCAGGTCCATCACTTTTACTATAGTCAATATCAATCCGGATACGACTCAGTCTGTGTTCTCATGTATCTGTCTTAAAAGATACAATTCAATCAGGAACTCATGTTTCACAAAAATACCAAAGGCAATATCAATCCGGATACGACTCATTCTGAAATCTTGATGTAATTCCCAATCTATATCTATCTTTCAAAGAAAGTGATTTAGGACGCTTCTCGTTCCCTTACCAAGAAGAATTACTCTTACACCCTAATCAAAGCGAACTATTATCACAACTGACGTTTTTTTAGATTTCTAGGTTACAGATTAAGTTAATAGACGTAATTAAAAGTTTGCGTCGTTATATAGCAACGTAGTTAAGCTAATCACAATACAGGTTTGACGTAGTTATTTACAGACGTAGCTAGATTAGGCTTATCGCAATACAAGATTTGCATAGTTATTGATAAGCGCATTTAGATTTACAGACAATGTACAACATAATTTATCTAGGTGTAACTATGGGATTTGCTAAAGTATTAATTACATAGGTACCAGTTTTCCCGCCTGAAACAGCTCCATTTCCGGAAACTTTGTTCGTTAACTATTTCAGAACTTAAAGTTTTTTCTTATACAATTTAAATCCTCAGAATACTACTGGGTTGCTCACAAAGGGTGAAACCATAGACAAAGATAGATTGCGCATAAGAAGACATTTTTCATCTTGTAAGATATAAATGTACAGAGATGTTTTAAAGATATTCCTATTATATAGATAAACTAGGTCAGTTGTGAACATTGGCTGTTCTTATGTCATTTAGTACTTGTGGTGTACATGAGTTCTGTAGAGACAAAATTTAAGTTATAGTTTAGTCCTTCTCATGTCCTTCTTCAGTTCTCATCAATATGATATATTGCTCAGTGAAATAATTTGATGTTCTCAAAATAAAATTCACTCCTGAGTGGTTTAATAATTATGAAATCCATTAAAACACCAAACCACCCCGCTTATCATTGAAGTACACTTTGACCCCTAGAAGTATGAGTTCGCGGACTGTACAATTCTTGGTGATTTTGTGTACATAAGCTATCTATGTTTATTTATTTATCTATGGGTGAAACTTTGTAGACAACCATTCAGATTTTAACCGTTATTAATACTGCAATATTAAAAACATAGAGAATAGAATATATAGAGAGGAATTTACTAGAAAAAAATGTAAAACGGCCATTTTGTTGTACTGTTTCCATACTGCAGGTGTACTTCACATATTTATGCTATATAACCTGTTGGGCCCTGGAATATCATTTTATAGAAAATCTAAAATTATTGTTAAAAGAAAACCAAATAATGAAATAGGCTGGTTTCATAATTGACCAATGATCATTTCACATAGACTCTATGCCTTCCACTTTACAAACAATGATTTTCCGTTATAACTATAAATCGAATGATGTTTTTATTCACCTAATTCATTATAAAGTTTATTTAACAGCTTAAAAAATTTCAAAATTGAAATGAATAGTCTAGGGAACATACTGTATTAATGTACTCTACTGCATATAATTTGTGAACATTTACATGATTTGTACACTTTGAACTCCCTTTTAGGCTGAAAGGGACCGACAAAATTCATACCGAGAGATTCTTTTAATTCCTCTCTATATATTCTATTCTCTATGATTAAAAATACTGTAGATGTAATTTCAAGAAATGGAGGATTTCAAACATCTGTCTGATTAAAAATAAGTTAGAGTCGTTTTTATCGCTTAACACGTGATTTAAAACATTTAAAAGGTACCGTTCGGAATCAAAATTGGAGGGTCACTTGAGATTATGTCTCTAGTGACATTAATTTCTTTCCAATTTTAAATATTAGAAAAAGAATATATGTCATTCAAATTAAAGATAAAATCTAAACCAATTAGTTCGCGTAGCATTTAACAGATACGGTATTGCTTAAGTATCTTCTTATATGAGTAACCAGATATGTCACGGGCAGCCGTAATACATTTGAATTTCCGAGCTGGGTCAACTTTTCCGGTCCCAGTTTGTACTGTATCGCATGGTCATTGGGTAAATAATGCAGACACTCGATATGACTAGCCGGTGCAGGTTGACGCGGTTAGACTTTAGGTTAAATTTACTTTTACTGAAGGGTCAGAGGTGCGTGATATATATTATACAACAATATTATTTTGTCTTGTTTTATATTTTCAGAAACAAATCAAAACGGCGGCGACAAGGCCTAAACTTTGGGTGAGTAATTAATGTCTCCTGATGAGATGGTTTTTTGGTGGACAGGGTTTAAAATAGTTCCTATAAATGGGAAGGGGGGATGAGGCAAAGTGCCTGGGAAGCCTATAGTTAATATCAAATTCTTGAAAAATTAATAAAAAGATCTAAAATTAACATGTTTTTAAATTGTGTGATGTTATGCCCCCCCCCCCTTCCCAAGATTTCTAGACGTATAGAACAGTTTTGTATTTTCGAACGTGATTTTCTAATTTCTTTAGTTAATTTAAGTGTTATTAAATTGTATAATAATCATTCATATGAGGTACGGTACAATACGGTACGGTACGGTACAATTAATTAAAAAATATGAATAAATCGCCTTTTTCAAGAATCAGCAGATATGAAACGATGCAAGAATATCTCTTAATCCCTAGATGTTTATCTATCGCGAGGCTCTATACGCTTAAGTATTTGAAAACGATTTCACCTTTAATTAAACATTTCGTTAATTGATTTTTTCATCAGCGATGATAGCATTGCAGAGTAGTATGAAAAAATAGCCTTAAAAAATCCAAATTTAATTCATGGGATCAAACGTTTAAAATCAGAGTGTTTCGTAAAAACCCGAAGCTAAATGTCGGATATAGTGTTTAAATCACATCTACTGTAGATATGGCGTCCATAAAAATATAAACCATTTGGGTTTCTGCATTTCAATGAAAAAAAATGAACACAAATCCTTTGAAACGTTTAAAACGAATGTAAATGTAAGTAAAAGGAATAAAAATACCCAAAAAAGCACTAAATTATCAATATATTATGTTACACCAAATAATTTACGTTAGAAATATCAGAAGTTTACACCATCAGGTTGTAAAGATATAAAAACTTAAAAATTTGAGTTTGTGTGAAAGACTCATGAATGCCTTTGTCTCTGTTGTATACCCTTGGAAGAAATCAAAATTTCAATCAAAAGTCGTCATTATTATATTAATATAAACGCTGACCACTATATTTTCATATTGTCCTACCTATATTGGGTTTGATAAAATAAAACCGGCCATTCTTCCTCCCCTTCAGGTCCAAACTGTTTCCTAGATTACAGTCAAAATATTGGAATATAAAATATAAGTTGAGTATATGAGGTCTATATGAGACCAGTTTTATGACCAAAGAAAATATAAAAATAACTCTAATACCTTCATAAAATATATAAATAAATATAATATTGATAAAAATGGAAATGTTATTAAACAAAAATCAGTAAAAGTCATATACGACTTGAATTATCTTTCATGGGCCTGAACCTGAACATTTAGGGAAACTAAACCTAACCCTAAACCTAAACATGAACGTAGCTGAACATAAACGTAAACCTGAACCCAAACTTGAACTTGAACCTGAAATCTAAACCTAAATCTGAACCTGAACCTGAACCTGAACCTGAACCTGAACCTAAACCTAAACCTAAACCTAAACCTGAACCTGAACCTGAACCTGAACCTGAACCTGAACCTGAACCTAAACCTGAACCTAAACCTGAACCTAAACCTGAACCTGAACCTGAACCTGAACCTGAACCTGAACCTGAACCTGAACCTGAACCTGAACCTAAACCTGAACCTAAACCTGAACCTAAACCTGAACCTGAACCTGAACCTGAACCTGAACCTGTACCTGAACCTGAATCTGGTTTACCTAACTGCTGAATATCTAACAGCTATAACTATTGCTAGATGAAGGTTAGTTGTTGCCATGTTAACAATACCAACCCTTCCTCCGGACAGATTTCCTATAATTAAACAGATTAAAGGGATACTAGGCTATACAGATCAAATAGAACTATAGTTAACCGATAGTAATCAAAATTTAAACGCAAATAACTTAAAGACCGCATTTTAACCCTAATGTTTATAATAAGGTTGTTTGATAATAACTCAGTACTCCAACATAAAGATTCTATTTATTTTCTGTTACCATCTTGTACTCTGGTTTAATAGTCGCTGCACCGTATGTACTTCACACTAAAAGCTACAACTTCTGCAGAGTAACTTCCATACTTAAAATATGTAAAGTCAAGAAAGTGCAACTACTGTCTAGTGTCTTCACATCAGCACCATATCTGGAGAAGTCAAATTCCTTTCCCCGAATGTACTGAACTACCTGGAAAGGATTCAAACTTCTTGAATGGATCCTTGAATAGAGTTGTATACCAGAGAAGCTCCAAACCTCTTATTTGTATCTTTGAATGGAGTTGTATACCTAGAGAAGCTCCAAACCTCTTGTTTGTATCTTTAAATGGAGTTGCATAACTAGAAAAGCTCCAAACCTCTTGTTTGGATCCTTGAATGGAGTTGTATACCTAGAGAAGCTCCAAATTTCTTGTTTGGATCCTTGAATGGAGTTGTATACCTAGAGAAGCTCCAAACCTCTTGTTTGGATCCTTGAATGGAGTTGTATACCTAGAGAAGCTCCAAAGCTTTTGTTTGGATCCTTGAATGGAGTTGTATACCTAGAGAAGCTCCAAATTTCTTGTTTGGATCCTTGAATGGAGTTGTATACCTAGAGAAGCTCCAATAACGTCTCCAGTTTTGTTCAGCAGCATTTTCCTTTTCATAATTTTATCTACTTTCACTTTTAATTGATTGTATTGTAAAGGAATCGAGTTCTTGCCACAAACTCCAATTTTCTAGTCCCAATATCTGATCTGCTGGTGTTTTTTCAAACTTATTCTATTTAATCTAACAATTCATAGTTTAAAATATCTAAGGTACACGTCATTGGGTGGCAAGGATATAGGAATTTAAAAAGTTTGTGTCAAAGACTCAATTCCTTTCGCAATTACCAACAATTTTCATCCTGCGCTAGAAATAAAACCAAATGTGTTTAGCAAATGGACACTTTTGTTATTTTTTTAATAAATTATGTTTCGCAGTTTGTGTTTTTTTTCTTGAGCGTTCTTTCAAAACTTATTATCAATATTTTAAGATCTTTAATGTACATTGTAGTTATTTGTCATCTGTATACGGTTAACATAAATGAATTGGAGAANTATCCCGCCTCGAGAAAGGTAAGAATTTAGTATGCTGACAGACAATTTGTACGGGCAAATCGTAGACTCCCCATAATTTCTTAAAAATCAAATTTATTTTCAATTTTCTTAAAATAACTGAAGGTTTTCCAAGAAAAAAAAAACAATGTTACAAATCCCTGTTTCTCTTGTTTTCTAAAGTAAACATTAATGTTTTTATATGGAAAAGTAAACAAACAGAAACATTATGCACTACAGTACCACCACTCTCCAGTCTCCTGACTCACACAGATTATAAGGAATATAGTCTACAGAACTTAAGCAACTTACTTACACGATTCTTAAACTTGTTTATATCCAAATATGTTGAAATTAAATGCAGGTTACGTTGTTGTTAGGTTAGTTAAGATTTAATTTGGTGTAAAAAGGGTGGAGGGGGGGGGGGGTTATATTTTTGGTTATTGTATGTAGAGTACTTATTCTATTTCTGAGATTAAACCTTGTTTCAACTATTCAATGGGCACGACAAACTCAAGTAAATTTCACGTTAGATTGAAATCTAATTCGTTGTCAATCATAACTTCTGTTATTATAGATCTATAAAGAAGAATAATGTTTTTCATTTCAAATATGTAGTTACCGGATATTTAATTTTCTCACATTTGTGCGTTAGATTACAACTAGAGGAGCTACGAGGTTGCACAAAGTCTTTTCCGTAGTGTCGCATAAACTTGACCTTCTCCTTTCGTCTAGTTCAGTGTGTGGGTCGGGAATCTTTTTACCTTCTCTCAAATAGATTCTAGTACAATAGATGCCAACGTAGGATTTTTACACTCTCAGTACAGCTGTATTCTCACATCACAAGTGTCAACTTAGTTTTTGACTTTGTGTCCGACAAAATTATTATTAAAAGTGATAATTTTCGCCTTAAGTGCTTATCTTACAGTAAAATAAGTGCAATTTTATGTGTATATTATTTTCTGCTTTTATCTTGGAAAACATGACAACTAATGTGAGAAAATTTCGTTTTTCTTGTTATATTTGACACTTGTGACGTCGTGCATAATTGGTCCATTTCTCTGTTGCCACATTTTGTACATGTATTGCATCTATTTAATCAAATTCATACAGCGAGACCCAGAAAACTGTGAAAAAAGAAGATGACATTAAAGCAATAGTTAGGTGTATTTGATGGTGTTACAAGGCAAAAAGTTTTACTTGTATCTTATTCATTCACTCATTAAGGAAAATTGGTCTGTTTACACTGTACATTTGCTGTGTTTCATGTTCATTGGACTATTTAAGATCATATCTTGAGTCTAAAAGTCATCTTCATATTCCAGAGTTTTATGGTTATCACTGTATGAGTGAATGGGGGGGGGGTAAGGCCTACACCCCCTCATGTTTGTAAAGAAGGAAGGAACCACATAAAGAATATTTATTGAGAAGATGACTGGTGCAAAGATGAAAGATTAAGGATTTAGCCCGTAAAGGAATATTCATAAATCATGGATGTTTGAATCTGAAGAAGAACTCCCCAAAGTGATCTTTGAAAACCAAACTAGGCTTATCTAAAGTTATAATTTAGCAATCAGCCCCGATCCTTGCTTCCAGCACAAAGATTGAATTTGCTGGTATCTGAATAGTTTGAAAATCCTATTATTATTGATTTATGGACGCAAGAAATATGATTCGTCTCTCCTCGGAATAAAACTAAATATAATAAAATTGTATTATGGAGTGCTGGCTGGGGAATCAATCTTAATTCTGTCTGTCTAAACAATTTGGGAAGACAACCAACACTAAGATGACTGAACAATCAAGAAACAATGGATCTACAAACAATATAGCCGACAACGTGACCAGACATTAAGTAAACAATATGGCCGACATGATAACAACGTTACCAGGCATTCTAAACAATATGGCCGACACTGTTAACATTGTGACCTGACATTCTAAACAATTGGCCGACACTATTCACAACGTGACAAGGCATTAAGTAAACAATATGGCCGACATGATAACAACGTTACCAGACATTCTAAACAATATGGCCGACACTGTTAACATTGTGACCAGAAATTCTAAACAATTGGCCGACACTGTTCACAACGTGACAAGGCATTAAGTGAACAATATGGCCGACATGATAACAACGTTACCAGACATTCTAAACAATATGGCCGACACTCTTAATAATATTGTGACAGACATTCTAAACAATATGGCCGACACTGTTAACATTGTGACCAGACATTCTAAACAATATGGCCGACACTGTTAACATTGTGACCAGACATTCTTAACAATATAGCTGACACTGTTCACTGTGACCAGACATTAAGTAAATAATATGGCCGACATAATAACAATGCTACCAGACATTCTAAACAATATGGCCGACCCTGTTAAAATTGTGACCAGAAATTCTAAACAATTGGCCGACACTGTTCACAACGTGACAAGGCGTTAAGTGAGCAATATGGCCGACATAATAACAACGTTACCAGACATTCTAAACAATATGGCCGACACTCTTAACAATATTGTGACAGACAATCTCAACAATATGGCCGAAACTGTTCACAACGTGACCAGACATTATAAACAATATGGCCGACATTTTTCAAAACGTAACCAGACATTATAAACAATATGGCAGACGCTGTTCACAACGTGACCAGACATTATAAACAATATGGCCAATGTTAACAACGTGACAAGACATTGTAAACAAAATGGAACTCAAAATAAACTATGTAAACATTATGAAAAATGGATACCAAAAAGGACTATAAACTTGCTCATTGTTAATTTAAACAATGTAAGGAACGATTTTTTAAACGCTTTTGTTTTTCTATCTGAAACTTTACATTTAACATCCTTAGGAAGGGGCTGTATAGTTTATAGTGTATAATGCATATAGTCAAAAATCCTAAATAGAGAACTAGAAATTCCAAGCGAGGAACAGAATAAATGAATTTCTTTGGTTGTAATAAGTTTACTACAATCTTTAAATAAAAATGGTCTTACACATTTCCAGTCGTTTTCTTAATTTTTTTTTATTTAAATTTAAGCGGAAGAATTTAATCTATTTACGTTTTATATCTTACAAGAATGGATTATTTGCCTCAAACTCGTACTTTTAAGTGTCATATATCGCTGATATTTCATTCTTGGAATGTTTTTAGATCAAATTGTCCGAGTTTGAAATCTCACATGTGTACACCATCAGATGGATTAGATAATTAGAGTTTGTGGCTACTTTCAATCTGTTTGAATTTCTAGGACATGTGACTGTCAGACAGAAAAACGATGAAATATCTACAGATCGCTTAGGTCATTTCTTTAGAAGAAGTCTTAAATTGCGTGAACGGTCCTTTAAAGAAACTATTTTTCTTGAAATCAAAGGATTCTTGAGATAAAATTTAAAGAATATGCATTTTCTGAAAATCTTTGATTGGAATGAAAAATAAAAATTTCCATATTTAATTGAGATAAAAGGATTCCTGTCAATCTGGTAGTTATTGAACTTTAGCCAACCATTATCCAGTCCATTCAGTCCAATCTTGGATCCCATATCTCCAATTATAACTCCTGAAATATATATCTTACAATATTGCAAACTTCATTAAATGAAAAAGACTAAAAGTTTTAAGAACTTAATAACTTATTAACTGTATGAATGTATATTTGTTAACCAAAAAAAAAGATCTTACTCCGCTGCAAGGTCGTCTTTGACCAAGATTTCTCCGGTGCCAAACCAAACAATTTTACACAGCATATTTGATCTTCCATAGAGGCCTTTGGCTCAACAATCTATATATAAATTTGGCTTGTTTGTTTGTTTGTCTGTCTGTCTGTTTGTATCCAATAAACGTCAAAACGGCTGAACCGATCGGGCCCAAATTTTTTGTGGGACATCTAGGGACCCCAGGGAAGGTTTATGAAAAATCAAAATTTCAAATATTTGTCTCCATCAAAATTCGATCGTCATTAAATTTTTAAAAATTTTGAAAATCCGCCAATTATTTTTGTTTTGTTTTACGATGTACACAAAGAGAACATGTTCACAACTAATTTAGAAGATGGGCGCGAAGCACCCTCTAAGGCTAGAAAGAAGGGCGCAAAGCGCCTTGAATTTCTAGTATTGTATACATATGTAGACATATATAGATTGTAGAGTATGGCTCTGGTTTGCGGAGCCAGGATTTTAGAGTTTGCAATTAATTTAGAGAAACTCAAATAAGGAGTTGTTTCTTGTTAATGACCCCCGTTTTAAGCAAGAATTTGTTTTCTGGGGAATTTTAATAACGGGTGATTGAATTTTAAGAAGTGAGAGTCATTAGGCTTTTATGGTGCTTATAAAAGGTTTGAATATGAATGGTAGGTTTGAGTTCGGTTGATGCATTTTTTTTGTGGTGCTTAACTAAGTTGCGTTTATGGAGCAAGAATCGACTTAGACTATTTTCCTGTTTTATGGAGCAAGAATGAGACTGCACTCATGCATGGAGCATGAATCAGGGCTTGTTCTTGGCTCCTGATGCAAGAATCGGACTCAGGCTATTTTCATACTTTATCAGGCAAGAATGAGACTGTGCTTAAGGAGCGTGAATCATGGTTTAATCCTGGCTCCTGGTTTGTGAAGCAAGATTACGTCCGTGATTTTGGTGGATGAATCAAGGACTGTCCCTCACTTCTGCATTTAACTTAGGTGCAAGACTGGGAAATGTTTATGGAATGTCATCAGTTTCGAGTTTTGTGTATAGGAAGAATAAAGCTGTGTTTAAAAAGCATGAATGAGTGTTTGTTTGTGGTTTGTAAAGCATGAATTTAATGAACAAATTCTTTGAATATTTTACATTTCCAGAAACATTATTCAAAGTAGGGGAATAGTTCGTTTAATGTTTATTTTTAAAAACATCTCTGTCATGACATACATCAGATTTATTGTATACCTGCAGAAATAAGTATTAAAGGATACAGGATATCTAACTACATATTGTATTGTATACCTGGATAAGGATTATGAGATACAGGATCCCTAACTGTATTGTATTGTATACCTGGATAAGGAGTATGAGATACAGGATCCCTAACTGTATGTATTGTATACCTGGATAAGGAGTATGAGATACAGGATCCCTAACTGTATTGTATACCTGGATAAGGAGTATGAGATACAGGATCTCTAACTGTATTGTATACCTGGATAAGGAGTATAAGATACAGGATCTCTAACTGTATTGTATTGTATACCTGGATAAGGAGTATGAGATACAGGATCCCTAACTGGAACTAAGAAATTATGAAGACCATGGCATTTTCCGTCTGGAGTAATCAGCTGAGCAAACACACTTTAAATATAAGTCAAAGTTAAATTCTAAATAATCAATGACAATAATGAATAGATTATGAAGATGATAATGTTGAAAAGATGCAAAGATTAGTGATTAATGAAGAGGACAAAAATAGTAAGGATGATACAGATAATGATGATATGAACATTATCAGAATAATAAGGATAATGAAAATGAGAAGAAAAATTATAATGATAAAAATAGATGATGGAGGAAAAGATTATAAAAAAAGTAATGAAGTTAATGAAATGAAGACTGTGTAGATGATAGTGCTATTAAGGAGGAGGCCAAATGACAAAGATAAATGATCAAACCATAGAATTTCAATATAAAATAATGAAGATAAAAATACAAATGATAAGTCTACAACATGTAACTGCGGATTGAGGATGTATTAAGAATAAAAGGCTGTCGATATATAAGATTAAATCTGAACCTGGCATGTGAAGCTGTTTTTGCGAGGTTCCCGGCCCAGCACTTAGCTGCGAGGAAGGACGGAGTATTCAAGATAAACTTTCCGCTCTCCAGGTCATAGGTTGCAGTTGTACCCAACCCCTGAACAGTATCGATTAGAAACTAAAAAGGATCATTTTTCATTAGGTTTGTTTATTACGGTCTAATAATTTTCCTACAAAGGAATGTCTTTGACACAAACTAAAATTTTCTAATCCTTATCTTTGAAACCTGATGGCGTAAACCTTTGATAATTCAAAGTTAGATTATTTGATCTAACAGATATCATAGTTTGAATTATCTAAGGTCTACGAAATTGGGTTAAAAAGATACAAAGATTAGAAATTCAGAGATTGTGGCCAAGAAAAGCGTAAATTATATATCAACAAGATGAAACCTTTGTATTTGTTCCATGGCTTATCTCCGTGAGACAAAATGCTCCTCCAATCCTATTATCCCGGGAATCCTTGAGAAGGGTTTTGTGCCTAGCCGTCCCAGCTCCTAAAGTAGAATAGTACTGCAGAGTAGGTAAGAGAATTAAAACTTCATGGAGTTATATTTCAATTGATATGATCCGAGAAGCAACTGTTGGAAAACCAGAATGGGTCACTTATTTTACCTAAAGGAGCAAGCTAGAACACACTACACAGGGATCCAAAGGTTGCAAGCTCTAATGCTATATCTATGAGAATTTTTCCAAATACTTTCTAAAATTTTAAACTAAAAACAAATGCTTTACAGTTCTAAAATGAATATGCTACGAAAAAGTATGAGTAAACTCGTCTTTAAAATTGATGGAACTTTTCAAAACAATCTGGATCTATGTAACCAGCGTATGCATTGTATATTCATGCTGATTATGGAGCCAAAGTCTCTGCAGCCTGCTGTTGTAAATCTTTGATATTTCAAATTATGAGTTCTGTTCGATCAAATCAAATAAAAAATTTACACTATCAAGTTGCAAAGATATAAAGTTTTGCAAGTAATCAGAACCTTTGGCTTAAGTGTGATTGTAACGGGATGTGTGGTGGGGCTAGGCTACGCTAGGGGGGGAGGGGTAAACTGTGCCCTAAATATCTACCTGATATACTCGACATGAAGAACTCTCTGTGCAGCATCTTCTTGGCACACAGCGACCAGTCGTACATCCCCAGGGCGGACACCAGGGCGGGGGACTTCAGCGGGGACGCCATAATCTAGAATATTATAGTGAGAACCATTAATCAATGCATTTAAGCAATTTAACAGTACGGTCTCGCCGTATCCCAACACTTTGTGATTTTAGATCACAATATCATCAATTAATCATTGATATAAGTTAAGTTGATTAAAAAGGAATTGAGTCTTTGCCATAAACTCTAATTTTCTAATTACTATATCTTTCGAACCAAATTTGCATACCTTAGATATTTCAAACTATGAATTCTGTTAGATCAAGTAATCTGAGTTTAAAATATCAAAGGTTTACAACATCGAGTTCTAAAGATATTGTGGTTTAAATATTTGATTTTGTTCCAAAGGCTCAATTCCTTTTTAGCCTTTTCTCTTATATATTTTTTGGGGGGCATACGTTTTTCGAATGAAAAGTATATTCAGACAACTAACTTAAGTTTAAAGATGGTTAATTATAGAACCAAAACGCAATTGAATTCAAATAGATTAAACCGAACGCATCTCGCCCTGATTAGTCTAGAGTTAGATGCAGCAAAGAAAAAAAGAAAGGAATTGAGTCTTTGTCATAAACTAAAATTTTATAATTCCTATATCTATGCAACCTGATGGTGTAAATCTTTAATATTTCAAACTTGGATTATTTGATGTATCGGAATTAACAGTTTGAAATATCTAAGGTCTGCGACAACAGGTTGCAAAGATATAGAGGTTAGCAAATCAGAGTTGGTGCAGCAAAGACTGAATTCCCTTCTAAAATATCCTGATTTAAGAAGATCAGTTTTTACCTCTGAATCTGGAACTGGATCAAGCTCCATGAACCTATGCAGTCTCCGAGCTAGAGATATAATACTCAATACTAGTGATATAAGTTAAAAGCACTCTTTACAAGAATAAACATGGAAAGGAATGAGTCTTTGTCACAAACTATGATTTTCTTATCTATATATCTATGCCGTAGACCTTAGATATTTCAAACTATGAATTCTGTTAGATGAAAAAATCTAAGTTTGAAATATCAAAAGTTTACACCATCAGGTGGAAAATATAGGTATTATAGGTGTTACAAAGACTCAACTCCTTTAAACTATTTCTACATTTTATAGTGTATCTAAAAATTGACGTACGTTTTGTAAGCTGTCCTAAAATGGGTCTTTATCAAAATATAAAAAAAAATCCTTGAGCCCGTCAATTTTTATGTATGAAAATTGCAGACCACATTTTGGAAATCTGAAGACTAGCAGAAGCAGATTCTGTTAGTAATTAGTTTAACCAGATCAACAACGACTATAATTGTGACGATTTAAGTTTTGAGACACACTCTCTATGCTCTTTTAAAGTGAGACCTAAAAACTGTGTAATGGATTAGGAAGCCGATTGCAAGAATCAAGGTCTAAATTTTAATTAGACAAATGAACATGAAGCACAGCAACTGTGCAGTGTTCACAGACTCTAATCGTTTAAGGTACATGATTTTCAAGCTACTGCAGTACTGCCGAAATGTCGTCTTCCTATTCCACAGTTTTATGGGTCCAACATGTAGTCCTTACATCAGAAAGTTGGGAGCCCTTTCCTCAAGGACATTTGACATGCATTGAAAGAAAAAATAATGAGATATATATCAAAATATTAAAATCCACATTTCATACAAGATTTTAATTAACATGTAAACGGTTGAAATAGAAATATGTATAAAAAAGTGCTTGATCACATTCGATAAGATAGATTTTAAGTTTTAAGGTCTTAATTGTGTGCATTGATTGATACAGCTAGGAAGACAGTACATTTTTGACCTTACATTTTCTCTTCGAATTTTCAAAATTTAATGAGTGTTATCCTGTGATAGATCTGTACTCGTCTAATCCTAGTTCTCCTTCCACCCTGCAACCCAACCCATCCATCTTATATTTAGGGATAGGCATCGTTTTCAGCCATGTTTTCAAATACGTTTTCAGCTACGTTTTCAGCTATGTTTTCAGCTACGTTTTCAGCTACGTTTTTAGATACGTTTTCAGCTATGTTTTCAGCAAAGTTTTCAGCAATGTTTTCAGCTACGTTTTCAGCTTAATTTTCAGCTACGTTTTCAGCTACGTTTTCAGCTACGTTTTCAGCTACGTTTTCAGCTACGTTTTCAGCTGCGTTTTCAGCTATGTTTTCAGCTACGTTTTCAGACACGGTTTAAAACAAATTTTAAAGTTATAATGTCCAAAAGAATGTAAGATCTTTAACACATTGCAAAATTACAATGCAGGGTGTCCCAATAAAAATGGGGATAGAGTGACGACTTTTACATCGTCTTCGATCCATGCGGCATTTTTCATAAACACAATCATTACAGTATTCCAGCTTAAACATATAACAACGAAAACGCCTGGCCTTGAGATTTTCAAAATGTGGTCTACCATCTTTAAAATTGACTGAGATATTACAAAATTCGCACAAATTTCAATTTAATCAATAAATAAAAATTGTCTTAATATTTAATACCTTTGTCAATTTTTAACATATAAGAAAGGTAGACCACTTTATGAAAAGATTGTCAGATTGCAGCCTCAGTTTTTTACTCTCTTTGCCATGCATTAGAGACGACTTTCAAGTGGTTTCTCAGTTCCCATGTTTATTGGGACACCCTGTATAGTATGCAACTTTATTTCTCTGATCAAAGATATTAAGATATTAACCAAAACGATTATTATAAACGAATTATCAAAACAATTTTATCAATCGTTTAAAAAATCATTTTGGTTAATATCTTCGTCTAAAAGTAAAATTTTTGAAGCATGCAGTTCTAAAATAGTATGTTCAAATCAGATTTATGTAGACCCTCTTAAAAGTATAAAAAATGTAATGTTTAAAACGGAGCTGAAAACGATTCCGATCAGTCGTCTTATATTCAGCTTTTACACCGCACACCGCGCACACATTCGTTGCACAGTTTATTCATTATATTTATTTTTCATATTTTAATTAAATTTCTTGTCTGAATATTCTTGGCAGGAATTTTACCAATTTTTCATCTTAATATTTTCTTTGCTAAATATTTCAAAACCTTAGAACATTTAAGTTAGATTTTAAAGGGAGTGTTCGCGAAAAATGAAAGGGGGTATAGGCTTAGTGCGATAAAAAAGCGCTTTTGATCGCTACTAATCTTACTTCTATCTGTTGCGTCTATAAGGAGAAAATTGTTAAAGACGTCTCATACCGAATAACTTAGCGGCCATACAAATTGAATAAATTGCAACAAACGACTTAGACTGTAAAAAATCAATTTAATTTCAAACAAATCATTCAGATATTACAACCTATAGTCATCGATTATCTTTCGCCACATTTGTATATAGTTTTGTTAAAATTAATTCGAAATATAAGGAAGACGATTTTTCCGACTCAAATTGCCGTAGCCTTTTCTCTAGATGTTTGCGTACTCTAGATCTATTTCCTCCACGTAGTGCTCACATGTCAAACCCCGCTTCTTCTCCCCCCCCCCCTTCTACAGATACCAGCCCCGGCAGTCAGCTATAAACACTCAAGACATTCACAACTCCGTCTCAACCCTGGCTCCTTCATGATGATGATGCAGATACTCAGCGCAACGCACCTGTTGATCTGCCCCACCAACATGAAGCTCTACATCACCCCCCATGACTCCTTCAGGCTGATGATGCAGATCCTGAACTAACAGCAGGCGTGCTTATACTTCTGATCTCCCTATTAACTTCTTGAGAAGCTTACTTAGGAAACTTGTGCACGGCTCTGACCGAAGTTTCCGCTATCTCGAGTTGCCTTGCCTTCGATCCATTGATAAGCCCTGTTGTCCCAGTTCCCGGATCTGCTCCACCAACATGAAGCTCTACAACACTTCCATGAAGCACCATCTAATGTCCATCATTTATTCCTTTTTGTTAATTTNGGATAAGTCCGCAATCTCTCTCCCTTAGACTAAGCCTAGTTGTGAGTAAGCCTGCCGTCAAGATTGATGATCTGCACCACCATCATGAAGTTCTACAAACACCTCCAATTGATATTCGTCTATAGTTTCTTTATTAATTTCTAAACCAACCAATTTTAATGCCACTTGGGAAACTATTTCAAAACATCCGTTTTATTAAATAAATGTTAGAAATATCCATGTAGATCTCCTTTTATTTTATCATATTGACTTTTAAAGTCAACAAGTTTATATTTTATAATATTTTTTAATTAATTTGTTTGTTTCTCTTGTCGCTTGCGCAACTATCTAAGAATGCCGCACACCACTCACAATTTTCGAAATCCGTTGAAAACGTTTTCTAAAAAAATAAAATTTTATAAAATATAAACCATATACAAATGTGGCGAAAGATAATCGATGACTATAGGGTGTAATATCTAAATGATTTGTTTGAAATAAAATTGATTTTTTTACGGTCTAAGTAGTATGTTGCAATTTTCTCAATTTGTATGGCCGCTAAGTTATTCGGTATGAGACGTCTTTAACAATTTTCTCCTTATAGACGCAACAGATAGAAGTAAGATTAGTAGCGATCAAAAGCGCTTTTTTATCGCATTAAGCCTGTACCCCCTTTCATTTTTCGCGAACACTCCCTTTAAAGTGACTGTTCACGTGAAAGAATAACCTATTCTCGTCACAAGACTGATTTCTTGTTTATAAATCAAGTTTTAGTAAAAAAATTTCTGAAACGTTTGAAAAAATGTCGAATTTTTGCTCATGATAATCTTAATCCATAATCTGGATCCCGAATCTATTTAATAATACACCTGGTACACCAAGGCATCAAAATAAATCCTTAACACTGATTTATTGCAATGACTTGAATTCTTTTTTTCAGTTTTGACGTTTGAACATTTTTTTCATGTTTTCACAGATGGATTTCATTCCTGTGGAAAACCGGCTCCTGAGTTAGATTTTAGATTTGAAATCCCCAAAATATAAAAATCTCTTAAACAACAAAATATTTTCTTTCCAAAGTTTGCGGATCAAATTAAAAGAATGAAATTAAGGCCCAGCCAACCGGTTTTATTCTTGTTTACTTTGTAACAAAACAATAACAGATTAAAAGAGCCTCAGCGATAATTCTCACACAGAAAATATTCTATTAAATCCAGGGTTATAATGCAGGGATCCATCTTTCACATAAAAAATCAATGAAATATTCTGGTCATAGGTAACTATTATGTGAATTATCAAAATTATTAAAATTTAATTCTTGTTTACTAATTCCGCCAAGAGAGGACTGGTTTCAATATGTACGCAGAGTATACGCAGCTGCATTTAACTTTCCTTGTATTATAACCTTGATATTATTAAATCATACTTTAACCTTACATCCCCCTTTTCTTGATGATTATAGTGGAAATGGAACAAAAAATTTCCAATTTTCTTCTTTGATAAAAACGTCCAATTAACTCAGTTTCAAACATTTTCTCTTCAGAAAATCCTCCATTAAAGAGAGGGGTCGCAAAAAAAATGTAAAACCGGAATCAAATTGTGAATCGATTAATCATACTTTTTGTTTCTTTTCGGTGTATCAGTAAAGATAATCTTAAACAAACCGTTTCCACAAAACCTGAAAACAGGTGTTACACTGAAACTGGCTGATACAGGAAGTCTGTTCACTAGTCCAGTATCACAAAACTTCTTTTGTGATTCCTCCCTTTAAGATAAAACAGTTTATTTGGGAAAATGTTAGAGTCAAATCTTCCCTTCTCCAAGAGATTCCAAATTTTCATCTTTGTCTCCAGCAAATCCTTCCTAAATAATGATTTAACTGCGAGGAAAATTAGAACAAGGAACTTAGGAAATATTAATACAAAGTTAAAATTATAATTTGATCAATAAATATACTGATTACTCGTCTCAAATTCAAAACCTTTTACGATTTGATCTGTAGCAGAATTCATATTTTAAATTATCATAGGTCTGCAGAGTACTGCGACATCAGGTTGCGAAGATATTGGGATTACACAAATAGAGTTTTAGGCAAGTATTTAATTACTTTCTAACACAAAAAGCACAATTCTGACTGTTTCCTGTTATTTTTATGATAATAATCATAATAATAATTTACTTTTTTACTTCAAGGAAGACTAAGATAGATATAAAAACTGTTGAAAGCCTTAAATAATCAAACTTTTATAAAATAATTTTTTTTCAGTCCTTTTGCTATAGACTAGGTAGAATGTTAAAAAGACAGAGAGCTGTTGGTGGGTTGCAAGTTTGTCTAGTTTTCGTAGTTTTTGTGCAATTTTATGACAGTTTTATGATCGTTTTATGACATATCATGTGCTGCGAGGAAAATAGATGGAAATGAGTAGAGCAGAAAGAATCGACTGGTTTAGGAAGTGAGAAGGAGAAAAATATGGACCGGGCCCACGGTTGTATAAAAGGTTGGTTACTCTCGATGCGCTCCAATGTACGGAAAATGTCGCCTCCTAAAATAGATAGATAAAAAGCTCATATTACGTCACTTTCGCCTCTATAATCAGGTTGTGAAGTCATTATTACTAACATTAGGTGGAAAAAATAATCAAAACAGCCAAGAGCTATTTTCCACTTAATTGCTTTATACTTGTACTGTTAATATAATCATCAATTTGTAATTGTAAACTCTATCTGTATACAGATACATTTATTTTAGCAATAAACTTTATCTTATCTTATCTTATGAGGTCTTTATCTATCTTCGGAGACGACATTTTCCGTACATTGGAGCGCATAAGAGAGTAACCAACCTTATTATAAAACCTTGGTGGGGCCGGAGGAAGTCTTTTATTTTTCCACTTTACACGTTGTAAAATCATCATTTGGGAACCAGAGAGAGGAGAAAAGGTATGGAGACGGTAATTAAGGTAAATTTAATAGGTTGAAATAGGATGAGATATAGGATATGGACAAGATTAAGGGATAAGGACAAGCTAAAAGGATAAGGAAACATCTGCAGTTGGATAAGAATAGGATGTAAATTATGAGGAGCGAATAGGTTGAATAAGGACAGGATATGGAGGATAATCAGAGAATAGGTTGGATAAGGATACAGTGAAACACTTAATAACGAATGCATCGAAAGAATTCATAAAATGTCGTATTCTTCACTTTCTGATAATTGAATGCTGCAGACATTTAGTATTTTAATTAAATGATTATATGGAACTCTTCAAAACTGTTCCCGCATATTCATGGCTATTTATTTATTTACGCAAATACTGGAATTTACGTAATATAGTATAAAACTCATTGAAAAATTGTCAAGACGACATTTGATAAATTCTTCCGATGTATTCGTTATTAAGGGTTTCACTGTAGGATAAGAAGGATAAGGAGATAATCGGTGAATAAGTACAGGCTATGAGGGATAAGAAGAGAATAGGCCGAATAAGGGTAGGATACAAATGATAATCAGAGAATAGATTGGATAAGGACAGGATATAAAAAATAAGGAGGGAATAGGTTGGATATGGATAGGATAAGAAGGATAAGAAGAGAATAGGTTAAAAAAAGGACAGGATATGAAGGATAAGCAGAGAATAGGCCGGTTGGATATGGACAGGATATAAAAAATAAGGAGGGATATAGGTTGGATAAGAATAAGATAAGAAGGATAAGAAGAGAATAGGTTAAAAAAGGACAGGATATGAATAGAAAATCTTTAATAAGGATAGAATACGTTGGTTGGCAATTTTGTCACTACAATGAAAACGACTTTTATGTTTTAGTTTCAATTGTTAACATGCTTTTACTTTACTGGTTTAAAAACAATTAAAAGTTTAAAGGTATAAAATATATAAGCTTTTTTAATTGACAGCGTCTCTTGACTTCTATTTTTATGTGTATCCATGTTTTTAACAGCTTTATATAAATCGAAATTGAAAACGAAAGTCGTCTTACTTATATTGATAAAATCGCCTACCACTGTAAGAAGGGTAGGAATAGAATTGTTGAACTAGGGGATTAACATAGAATAGGTAAACTATCTAGTATCTACCGTTGAATAGGTAAACTATCTAGCATCTACCTTTTAATAGGTTGACTATCTAGTATCTACCTATGAATAGGTTTACTGTCTAGTATCTACCTATGAATAGGTCGTTTATCTAGTATCTACCTATGAATAGGTTGACTATCTAGTATCTCCCTATGAAAAGGTTGACTATCTATAGTATCTACCTATGAATAGGTCGACTATCTAGTATCTTCCTATGAATAGGTTGACTATCTAGTATCTACCTATGAATAGGTCGACTATCTAGTATCTACTTATAAATAGGTCTACTATCTAGTATCTACCTTTGAATAGGTTTACTATCAAGTATCTACCTTTGAATAGGTTGACTATCTATTAGCTACTTGTGAATAGGATGACTTTCTAGTATTTACCTATGAATAGGTTGACTATATAGTATCTACCTATGAATATGTCGACTATCTAGTATCTACCTATGAATAGGTCGACTATCTAGTATCTACCTATGAATAGGTCGACTGTCTAGTATCTACCTATGAATAGGTTGACTATCTAGTAGCTACCTGTCAATAGGATGAATATCTAGTATCTACCTATGAATAGGTTGACTATCTAGTAGTTACCTATGAATAGGTTGACTATCTATTATCGTTGACTATCTAGTATCTACCTATGAATAGGTTGACTATATAGTATCTACCTATAAATAGGTTGACTATCTAGTATCTACCCATGAATAGGTTGACTATCTAGTATCTACCTATGAATAGGTTGACTATCTAGTATCTACCTATGAATAGGTTGACTATCTAGTATCTACCTATGAATAGGTTGACTATCTAGTATCTAACTAGGTCGACTATCTAGTATCTACCTAGGTTTACTATCTATAGTATCTACCTATGAATAGGTTGACTATCTAGAATCTACCTAGGTTGACTATCTACAGTATCTACCTATGAATGAGTATCCGAAGTTGCCTCCAGTCGAAGGAAGGTTTTATATTTTCTCTGGGACTGATTTTACAAAGTTTAAAATTAACTATATGGGATTTCATCCAGGATAAATGTTTCCAGAGCTGGGAACTTTTGAATGGTGGATATCGGAATTAATGCTTGATCCACTCTTCTCGAGATTAAATAATGCTTGTTCTCCTCTTGCTATTAATCTTCAGATTAATTAACCGATCGGGATTAAGGATATCCCATTCTAAAGCTTTCAGCTCAGGTAATTCTTAAATTTTTTTAAAAATTAGACAGCTAGATAAAATAATTTAATTGGTAAGCATTACCAGTAAATGATACAATTTAAATCTTGTTATTTGACCTTTTTGTAAAACTTTAAGAGTTTTGTAGTTTTTGTTTACAAATAGAAAAAAACTGGAAAAATTGTGTTTTTTCTTTCTCGGTTGATATTTAATAATAATTGAATTCAGTGCATAGACACTTGCAAATCAATGGTAATACAAATTACTCTCTATTCTTCTCAGGAGTACAACATTGATAGAAATGTGTTTTTTTTCTTCAAAAAGATATCAGAGGACAGGGACCAGATATTATGAATAACATGAATTGAAGTACAAGATAAGAGGTTCAACCTAGTGTACGCGGTTCAACTACTTCTAACTATTAATTACATCCAGTCTATGTCGAGATCTGAATCAGAATCATTACGAAACAAAGAACTCATGTAAATTAAACCCTAAAATTTGAAATTTCCTCCTTCCTATGCATTTAGTTTCCTGACGATCCTGACCATTCTACAGTGTTGTGTGTTGTATATCAGCCTACAGTTAGAGATAGTTATCAGCCTACAGTTAGAGATAGGTATCAGCCTACAGTTAGAGATAGGTATCAGCCTACAGTTAGAGATGGGTATCAGCCTACAGTTAGAGATAGGTGTCAGCCTACAGTTAGATATAGGTATCAGCCTTCAGTTAGAGATAGGTATCAGCCTACGGTTAGAGATGAGTATCAGCCTACAGTTAGAGATAGGTATCAGCCTACAGTTAGAGATAGGTATCAGCCTACAGTTAGAGATAGGTATCAGCTTACAGTTAGAGATGGGTATCAGCCTACAGTTAGAGATAGCTATCAGCCTACAGTTAGATATAGGTATCAGCCTTCAGTTAGAGATAGGTATCAGCCTACGGCTAGAGATGAGTATCAGCTTACAGTTAGAGATAGGTATCAGCCTACAGTTAGAGATAGGTATCAGCTAGATTGCAAACTATAAGTAAAGTTTGTATTCCTGAGTTTCCAATCCTTGCTCCGGGATTGAGGGATATCTCCGACCTTACACCTAAACTTATCCAGGGGTCCAGATCCAGGAGTTGGGCACAGTTTTCCCAATTCCTAAATATGTACTTTCATTCTACCAAAGTATTTTTTTTAAATATGTAATCCATATATACATTTCTCTCAATTCTAATGCTTATAGGATCTATTTCATCCGGATCCGTTCTGAGATCCAGCTCATAGATAGTTTTCCTAATTTCTTAAACTGAAGCAAACAAATTCTAGCAGACTAAGAAAAAAAACCGTTGCATTTAAATCATTAAAGGGACTGTAAGTATAATTACAAGTGACCCTTCACGCAAAGATGGCAATACTCGATTCACACAGGTACCCCAGAAAGCTTTGTCTGGCCAAGAATGAATTAGATATTAATGTTTATAATTTTAAAAACTGATTAATTTCAATTGTAGATTCACTACTGAACTGACTTACATATATTCTGTTCGAGGAAAACAAATAAGAATTATTAAAGTTATAAACACTTTAACGCCTATAGTAAAACACAATTTATATCTTCCACATTATCAAGGGTATCGTCGTGAATCGGGCATTGCCATTTTTGCATGCAAGTCACTTGAACATACGTTTAGTTCTCTTTTAGGAAACACTGCAATTCAAGTTTCCTGTTAATAATTCGTTAATATATTCAATAATATAATGTATAAAGTATTTAATCTAACCTGAATAGAATCTTCCATTGTATCCTAGTATTGAATAGAGTAGAGAGAACTAAACTTATATCTTTCTCTCTTTATCTTCCCTAGCCTGAGTACACATCATGTATTCTTATAAACATTAACCAGTTCCTGTACAGGGTGATTCTTAGGGTTTCCAGTTTCCACCGGAGCTAATTTCTACAATTTCACGCAAATTTGCTTTTGGGTTGAGTGGACTTGCTTAATGTAAAATTGGCGCAACATCCAAAATTGTCGAGAATTTGCGCGGAACTTATCGAATATTATAAAAAACTTTCATTTCCGTACAAGTTTATTATTGTGAATTAAGTGTCAATTTTGATTTGAGCATATTTCTTTGAAAGAACAATATTTACGTGTGCAAATTCCTTTTTGCGCAAATCAGCGTTTCGGATCCGTATCAGGAAACGTTGATATGGATCCCGGTAGCGCCAAAAATTAACCAAAACCATGGAATAAATAAATCAAAATGGTTCGTAAATGTATTATTTACATGACGAAAATTTTTCAAAATTATCTTTAATAATTTAATGTTTACATTTATATAATAGTAATGACGACATTTTTGTTACATTTTGGAATATATAATAAATATAGTTTATAAATTATAACCTTGCATAACATTTAATAGGGAAAATCCGATTCACAGAATCAAAAGTTACCTCGGATCCGGATCCGTATCAGAGTCAGGATCCGGATCCATCATCACGGATGTGGATCCGCGGATCCGGATCCGCATCAAAATGATACGGATCCGAAACACTGGCGCAAATCTTTGCACCGACTTTTGAAATGATCCCTTTCTATATTTTTGCCGTAAAAGCTAAAGATGGACATTGTTCTTCAGTGTTTCAGTGGTTCTACAGAAACTCTGAGATATGCATGCATATAATTCCAATTTGTATGCTCATAAGTTTGCTCTTAAGTCGATAGTGTAAAAATTCTAAACCCATTTCTTTTTTTGGTGAAAATTTTCTGTTCAGGGTAAATTTTTGCCTAATTTAATTTAAATTAAAATTTCTAACCTAACAAGGTGTCCCCCAAAACTAAAAATAAAGGTTAACACGACACTAAAATAATTGCTATGTAGAATTGTTGGTAACGAGAATTTTGGAATTCAATTCACATTTGGAGTAGTGTTACAGCTTTATACAAATGGCTTTTCTACTGAAAACATTTTTAGGCCCATTAATAATATAATAATAATAATAATCACCGTCAATCCTTCAATCTGAGATTTGAGGCTTGTGCTCTCTTCCGTTTAAGTTCCAATGAATTATCCCAGTTTAGAGTAGAGTGTAAATTCAGGGGTGAGGACGACTGACGAGCCTTTGGCTGTCTGCCATGGACCCTTCATATTCTAATGATCCTGTCGGTACCATTAGTATATCGAGATGTTCAAAATGGTCTTTATGATTGAAGGGTGACACTGATTGTGTATAAAAAAGGCGCGGATTTATATTTACGAATGAATTAACTTATAAGTATTTAAAGTTCATGCAATATATCCTTGCCAAATTCAGGGCTTAAAATAAATTTAGAAAGATTTAGAAAATATAGTTTCATGTTATAAACACATTTGAATGTATAGCTTCCTGTTATAAACACATTTTGAAACTATAGTTCCTGTTATGAACACATTTGAAAATATGGTTTCCCGTTATAAACACATTTTGAAAATATTTTTTCCTGTTATTAACACATTTTGAAACTTCAGTGCCTGTTATAATAAACACATTTTGAAAATATTGTTTCCTGTTATGAACACATTTTGAAACTATAGTTTCCAGATTTAACACAATTTGAAAATATAGTTTCCGTTATTAACACATTTTGAAAAAGTTAACCTCTGTTTTTTCTCTCTGTTCTCAACATCAATCTTATCAAAATTGTTTATTTGAAACACTAGGAATAATAGTTATTTAATTAATATTATTATGCGCACTTACATCCCTCAAATAGCGTAGGTATGTATTACAGTGTATTATTAAAAACAACAAACTCCAGCTAATACCAGATATTTCAATTTTTACATATTTCATGTTAAACACAAATTTGAAATTAATATTAAAAAAACAGCAAATTGAATGAATATCTTTTTCTACAGATCGAGTAAAAAAAATTTAAAATAGCTAGACTTATGATAAAATAAAATAAAATAAAACAATACTAATTCAAAATACATAAATTATCAAGAGCTCTTAGGAGACTCTTATATTATTTAAAATATAAATATCAATCTTTATCAGCTTAGAGAGACTGTAAGCGTAATTTTAAGCGCCCCACCATACCAAGAAGGCAATGCTGGATTCACAACGAAGCCATTGGCACCAATAACAGATCAATAATGTATATTTTTGTATCTATAAATTTAGCAGTATTTAATTCTTATAATTCCTATATGATTTCCTGCAATATAGAAAATCACATTTGTAGAGAACCCATAATTGAAAATAATAATTTTTTTGGTGAACATTGTGAACATTGATATATAATTCATACTTGATCGGACGAAGCCGTTAAGGGCACCGGTGTGAATCGGGCAGTGACATCTTTACATGGAGCGTCACTTAAAATTACGCTTACAGTCCCTTTAATCATAATATAAAAGCATTGGTAGATCGTATAAACCCTTTCGAGAAGAGATCTGGGTCTTGGGAGACAAGAGCAGGTTGAGCTCAGACAGAGGAAAATAATATCTCGGAGAACAGGGAGAAATAATTCGTGATCGGAGTTCTCCAAGATACTTTTTGGAACATTCACGAATATATTGCTAAATAGAAATTGCATTAATATGGATAACAACATTGGGCTTAAACATTGAAGATACACGCATTCAGTAAACTTGAACAATAATAGATTATCTTTACAAAACATTCCTGGTTTTTGTTAATAGGTTGGTATAGTTCTAAAATTAACACTTATCAAAACAATATTTAATCTAGGAAAACATTTAAAAATTTACTTGAGATATAAGGGCGTGAAATTTGATGACAAATCCAATTTTCTGAAATTTTACTTCGAATGTCGGGGTTTGAAATACAAGTTATATAAGGAGAAAGTAATACTGTACGAACCTACTAAACTGAAACCTATGAGTAGGATGGAGAGGAGAGAGAATTAAAATTAATCTTAAAACCATCCAACCTCCAAAGACTCTCCGTCTAGGTTTAATCCTTAACTATTTATCTTCTGAATCTAGTTTTACGAAGAGTAGAGTTTCAAGAAGATGGATGGTTTCAATTTATAAAATAATATCTTCAATTCAGGGAGGATTCTCCGATGCTTGGCTGGTTAAGTACAGTACAGTAAACTGTATGTGTACATTGTAATGTGGAATAAAGGGTAGAACTGTACAGTGTACAAGATTATCTATTGGTTGTTTAGACTTGCCGCTTCCGCTTTACTTAAAGCAATGGCGTAGGCTAACTCTTGTTCTTCCTAAAATAAAACATGAAAATTATGTCAGTAGTTCAACATAAACATGGAAACATGGAGACAAATTGTCGGTTTAATTCTCAATAATCTGTTATTAACCCCCATAATCATTTTTGATGATTTGGAGAACAAAAATGAAAAACTGGACAAATAAATTTTTTTTTTAGAAATGGTTAATATTTTGTATTAATCAAGCTACAGGGCTTACATTTATATATTTGAAAAGCCCTTGAAAATGGATGTATAATAATATGTGTCACATGTTAATATTTGTCCAAAGTAAAACTATTTATTTTTGAACATTTTCCGGCGTACTTTTTGAACTTTTTTAAAATCCTCCTTTGCACCCTGCCCTAACCGTTAAAGATAGAGGCATACATTTTTTTACTAGGGACTATGTGCATTGTATCACACTCCCCTATCTCAATTCTAAGAGCAAAATCATAGGGGAGTGCACAAGGGGCGCACAGGGGTCTCTCCCCCCCCCCACTACGCCACTGGGTATGTTATCCATAATTTTATTATTTGATTATGCGCAGTGAGAAAATAAATGGCAACCGGAAATTATTCTAGATTACTGAAAAGGAAATTTTCCGGATCCCGAAATTAATAATGGAAATTTTATTTCTGTTTACGGAATGACATGATAAAAAGTGTATTCAAGAGGACGTTGATGATTTAATGAAACTCAAAGCTTTCGCGTTAACACAGATTACTTTTTAAAAGATTTGTAAATTAAACTCAGTTTAGAACCTGCAGCTGTAATCTTCGACGCCGTTCTACCTCTTCCCGTTTAGACATTTCAGCAGCCATCTTTAACTGAATCTAAATACAAATTTAATACATTTTTTTCAGACTTAAAGGCCTGGGCAAAATAAGGCAGATATCGTTTTTTTTTTCAAACTCTAAGTGTTGAATTCAGAAAATAAAATTTCAAAACACTAAAAATTGGAATATCATAACATAGCACTACTGTTTTCCTCCACATTTTCTTTTGCATACCAAATAACAACGTGCAACTAAATTTTTTAGAACTAAAACAAATGTTACTTAAAATATAATACCCCCCTCCCTCTTCAGAAATAATTTTTCCCCAAAAGTTAAGTATTTTAAGGCTTTTATTGACTAAATTTGGGAAAAATAAAAAAATTTGGGGTAAAAAGAATAAAAAATTGAATTTTTAAAATTATTAACTATTAAAAATATATACACCCCTGTTCAGTGATGAGCTCTGTATATGAATTCACCTGATCTGGCCCACTGTCAGAACCATGGCTATCCCTGCTACCCTTCTTGTCCGACTTAGGAGAGTCCTTGCTTTTAGATTTAAGAGGAGAACTTAGATGGAATTTCCCAGTTTTCTTCTCCTTCTTTTTCTCCGTTTTCACCGGGGAGCCAGTGAGGAAATCTGCGATTCCGTGACCGGGTCGTTTTTTATTAGATCTTTCCGTGGAGGAGGAGGAGGATAGAACCTCCTTCCTGTAGGAGAGGGTGGAGGAGGTGCTGGATACTACAGGCTGGTTGGAGAAGGACGAGGAGTTTGCGTTCAAATCCTTGCTTGAAGTCAGGTTACTCAAGGTCGTTAAACTAAACAAAATTAACTAATAAGTAATAGACAAATAGGAAACCTATCATTACTAATTTATATAGAACCATTATTAAATCTTAAATTGGCTGTCAGTGTAATTTCAAGTGAACCCTTCATGCAATGCAGCCAATGCCCGATTCACAATGGTATCCTTAAAAGCTTTATAAAGTATGAATAAGATATCAATATTTATTATTTTGAAAACTGAACATTTCCAATTGTGGTTGTAGATTTCTACGCAGGAAAACACATAGAAATTTTAGAATTGAAAAGTTTTAAACCTAGAAAAACTGACAACCTCTTAACACATTTTTGATTTGATAAAGAATTCAAGGGTACCGGAGTAAGTCGAGCCTTTTCAAGGAGGGTCACTTGAAATTACGCTTACGGTCCCTTTAGGTCTCCTTAGCCTTATCAAATAATATTTGTAAATATTGCTGTTGTTTTGGTTCACCTGAATGGATCATTGGAGAAACTATTATCGGAGGCTGGGAACGGATCCGGATTAGAAGTTGCAAAACTAGTTCCAAACGGATCATTAGAATAATTAGTGTCTTGTTTTGATCCAAACATATCCTGGGGAGAGGAGAAGGGATCCGAACCGGAAGGTTTTGATCCAAATGGATCGTTGCTTTTGGGTTTTAATCCGAATGGATCATCAAACGTAGGTTTCGATCCATAGGGATCTTCGGTATTTGGGTTTCCTCCGAATGGATCGTTAGAATTTGATTTAAAAGGGTCAGCTCCAAAGGAATCACTTGTTTTGAGTTTTTCTGAGAATAAATCCGGTTTTGAAGAACTAAATGGATCCGAAGCGGACCCGGAGAAAGGATCCGAACCGAACCCGTTGGAAGCGTCCTTGAATGGATCCTGTTTAAGGCTGGAGAAAGGATCAGAATCCTCCATCCCAAAGGGATCAGCATAGCGTACATTAGAGTTCTTAAAAGGGTCCTCGGAGAAGTCTAACCCACTATTATTTGAACTTGTATTCCAATTACTGAAAAAAAAGATATGAAAAAATATGCCTCAGACTTTAAATTTGTTTTAAAATAAAAATTATCATAACTTTTACTTGCATAAATAATTGTAAAAATCTAGAAATAAAAAATGCATACTTATCAAAGAAAGCGTTGTCATTTTTTCCAAACCCTGATTTATTCCCAGTCGACTGAAAAAAAAGCAAGATTAAAAACAAAATTTAGAAAAATTGTGAAATGCATTTATTGCATCCTGATGCATTAGGACGGAATACTGAAAAGGAATAACTGTACATTGTACAACATACAAAATAATCAAATATTTTTATAACTGTACATTGTACAACATACAAAATAATCAAATATTTTAATAACTGTACATTGTACAACATACAAAATAATCAAATATTTTAATAACTGTACATTGTACAACATACAAAAGAATCAAATATTTAAAACATTATTAGTTTATATTAAGACGTACGTTACTAGACTAACACACAACAGTGAAGCAAGATATAGCTAAAAGTGTGACTTGAGACTTCAGAAAAATAAAGCGAGATGTTTATTTTAAAAATATCTATTTGTTCTTAATGATTTTACTGAGAGGAAAAACTGTATTTATTTCTTCAAGTCAAATTGGGCTATAAACAGTTTCTATTTTTAGTACAGTGAATCCCAGATATTTGAATACATAGAAAGAGTTTTTTATAATGTCGTATTACATATTTAAGATCAAATGCCGCGGAAAAATGAGTTTAATATAGCCTTGAAATATGACTGAAATTGATATATTAATATCAAACACATTTTCCGCGGCATTTGATCTTAAATATGTAATACGACATTATAAAAAATTGTATAAAAAATGTATTCATATATCTAGGATACACTGTAAGAAATTGATATAATTGTAGTTTAAAAACTAGGTAACAAACAAGTTTATTTATAGTTTAAAAACTAGGTAACAAACAAGTTCATTTGTAGTTTAAAAACTAGGTAACAGACAAGTTTATTTGTAGTTTTAAAACTAGGTAACAAACAAGTTCATTTGTAGTTTAAAAACTAGATAACAAACAAGTTTATTTGTAGTTTAAAAACTGGGTAACAAACAAGTTTATTTGTAGTTTAAAAACTAGGTGACAAACAAGTTCATTTGTAGTTTAAAAACTAGGTAACAAACAAGTTTATTTGTAGTTTAAAAACTGGGTAAGAAACAAGTTTATTTGTAGTTTAAAAACTAGGTGACAAACAAGTTTATTTGTTGTTTAAAAACTAGGTAACAAACAAGTTTATTTGTTGTTTAAAAACTAGGTAACAAACAAGTTAACTTGTGCGTCTAATAAAAATCTGAAAAAAATTGTGGAAAATGAAATGCGACACAAAAGGATTAGACAGAAAGATGCAAATAATATTGCAAAAATCAAAAGTGAAAATGTTTAATATTTACTCTATGTAACCTACATAAAACTTTTTCTTTACAACCTTCATGGTTTTGTTCTATAATGAAATCAAAAAATCTCCAATATGTACCATTGTTATTTCTATCTGATTGTCAGTAAGAGTATTTGTTTAAACCGTTCTCAAAACTCACAAAAATGCGACATGTTGATTTACTTTAAATTTGATTAAATTTGATGCATAAAACGTGCTGAGTCGACTTTACACTGGGTAGTTAAGACTGTACGTCTGAATGTATATACAGTCCAGATCATGCAACTATGTGGAATATTAGCTGTTGTAAAATCTTTTAAAAAACATAAAATAAAATTGTAGAAACTGTAAACTAAAAATAATCTGAATGAAAATAATCGCTAGCAATAAATCTAATGAGCATTAATAAACAATAAACATGCAAACATGAACTTACGTGAATTAGTCCTGCAGTGAAAATAAAGAGTTAGATAATTATGTATATTAAATATTTATATTTTTTACAAACTCATAAATTTCCAATTTTTTCCCGGATCAATTTGGATTTGTCAAGACCTGGCTGAAATTTTCGTAAAGATCTTAAGAACGATAAACCATTAAAAACTTCATTTTCAAAAGTTTTAATTGGTTGTCATTCTTGACGGAAAAATGGAAACCCTACATTTTAATTCTTTGAAACAAAAAAGCATTTTTCCTTAGCCGTCTAAAGGGGTAAAATATACTTTAGCATTTCTGTCCAATGCAAACCTTTTCAAAAAACATATAAAACATGACCATAAACATCAACATCATTTCAAAAATCATCATTTCCATCTATCCATCAAAAGTTCTTCAGGAGGGCAGCAAACAAACCCCAATAAAAGCAAGAAGCTTATGTTAGAAGCTGGAACTGGTGATCTGGCAACGAAGTCGGATGTCCACGTTAATAAAATACCGGCGAAATCGAACTATTATGTCCAGTGTCCACATTTGAAATTTCTTGTGTAGAAGGATGAATAATTGTCCAATTTGTACTTTTATTCAGTGTAAACGGACAATAAACAGCAAAATAAGATCAATGTTACGAGCCCTTGGTCTAATACTGATTTAGTATATGTTACTTCAGCTTTCGCCACAGTTGGTAGGATATCACTCAAATTCTGATTTGATTTGGTCAATAAAATACAGAAAATTAATACTAGTAATCAGTTGGCTGATTTAACACCACATAAACGGGCAATAAAACACATTTGTTTGTTATATTGATGAAAAAGCTGATAAATAATAATAATCAATGTCAATCCTTCAATCTGAGATTTCAGACTTGAGCGCCCTTCCATTTAAGTTCCAACTCATTTAAAAGGTCCGTTAATACAATACATAATGGACTAACCTGAAAATACCATACATAATGGACTAACCTGAAAAGCGCCAAAATCTGCAAATCCGCCGACACCAGAATCTGAATCATTGGCCGCGGTCGGTCCATAAGAACTAAAGGCATTCTCTTCCGCGAACGGATCATCCGAGTCTGGGCTATGTTTCGGAAGCGGGGGCCGACCGGGTTCGGCTAAAGCCGGCCCGGCCTTAGGTGGCGGGGGTCGTCTTGGCGGAGGAGGTCGTTTAGGAGCCGCTGCCTGCTTCTTCGGAGGGAGAGCAGGGGTGGGAGAATCTGTATCACCGGGGCGGGGAACAAGAACAGGAGGAGTTTCCCCACCATCCTTTTAATTTGTGAATTTATTTAACATATTAAATAAAAGAATCAATCTTTTATCAGTTTGTGACCACTGGTTAATTATCAAAGAATAATAACTAAAGAAACTAAAAGAAACTTGGAAAAAATAAAAATAAAAATATAAAAAACAAAAAAGAAACTTACAAAACCAAATCCAAAAAGTTTGGAGTGCGCGAATGCCGAGGGTTTCGACGAAAAATTATCTGGAAACCCCTGATATTAAAAAAAATAAAATATAAAAAATAAGAGGAAAAAAATGGTAAATATTAATGATTATTGATTATGTTACCGTGAAGTTAGCGAATGCATCATCATTACTGAAGAACGCCGTCGGATCCCTCGTCTCCGGAGACATATCGGAGAAAGGATCATCGTTGGAAGAAATACGTCCGTTAGCCACAGGAGAAAACGTCTAAGAAGTAATTCAACAATGAATTCTAAAATAAACCATAAAACTGATTGCATTTTCAGGATTACACGATAAATCTCAAGTCTAGCTAGGTTTAATTGTCGGAAGAGGGGTGGGGGTATTTGAAGAGTGGAAGTAGGGGTGGGGGTTATGTAATTTCAAACTCTCTTCGCGAATTTATCTAAGAAAACTGCAAAGTTTTCAACTTTCAGGAGTTCTTGATTTTGTCAGTTAAGATTTAGTTTTACCATGCACCCTATCTCTCATTTTGTATATAAAAAAAATCTCAACAACAAAACTCATCCTCAACATGATCTAAATTCTGTTCCTTAACTCGGACTCATCCCTATTCCTACACCAGGTTTTACCCTAGCAGGTCTATTTATATACAAGTTTGTAACCTGTGGTCTAGGAGGTGGTCTACTGGGTTTATCTATCTTGGAGTAGTCAGGTTCCAAGAAGCTCAACCTTATCGGCTCTAGATAGAGATCAGGACAGTTCTGAGCCTCACTTGGATCATCCGACTTGAGAACCTTGTCAAATCTTGCAATCGCCTCCGCCATGTGCTTCTCTGCTTCCTCCATTTCCGAGGATTTCCCCCTGAAATATAACATTTTAATTTTTAAATTGTGTCAGAAAAAAGTAGACAATAAAAGTGAAAAAGCTAAAACCTTCGTTAAAAATACGATTGCATTGTACAGGGTTACCCACAAAGGATAAGACTTCAGGGGTGGCATAAAAAAACAGCCCAAAAAAACCTATAAAACCCACCTGTAAGTGAGTCTTATTGGTTTTTTAAAGAATTTTTCTAATTATTGCCTTTTCTTCATTCTTAAAATGATAAAGTCTTCAAGAAATAAAATCTTTTATCAACTGTATTGATTTTTAGGAGTTCACAGCACTAAAACTGACACATTTTTACATTTCCTAAGACTTAAACCAATTATACTAATAATGAATATTGTTCGAATATTTAGTTATTAAAAAAGTATTGAATTAATCATAGTAGACAACCCTGTCACTCTGGACTTCAAAACGGTTTCTGGTTTCACCCTTGACAAATTCAATAGTAGAAAACTTTTGAAGCAATCAATCATCTGCACTCTGCAGTGCTTGTTTTTTCCAAAACAAGTATGAAAGATATTGATAAACCCAAGAAGATACACAGAACCACACCAGAGCTGATGTTTCTCGGTATTTACTATTTAACAGTGGTCTTCCTTCTTGAGCATATAAATACGGGGTGTCCCAATAAACATGGGAATTCAGTGACGAATTTGATATCGTCTTTTAAAATAATTCTTTGATTTAGTATAGTGATACCTACTGAGAAAGCTTGAATCTGTAAGAGTTTCGTCTGCTATGTTTACATTTTGTTTGTTTGTGTTTTGACTGCATACGGTTGTACTTTTTAAAACAAGAAAATTGCAGTATACAAACAGAGTAAACTTGTCCGTCTTCACTGTTCATCTTGCGGAGACATTATAGACACATCTTTACAGCCATTTACCGTTTTCATTAAATAAACTCTAGCAGACAAAATAGTATTATGGCTTTTAAAATTAGGTATTACAATGCTAACTCATAACAAAGACGATATCGAATTCGTCACTAAATTTCTATGTTTTTTGGGACACCCTGTATCTACCGATTAACCTGAGTATCAGAAATATGTATTCAAGTGAGAAAATAGAATTAGACTGTTTATAGAACTGTAATATCAAACAAATTTTCAGAACTATAAAGTTCACCTATTGCTTAAATAGTCTTAATATTATAAACAAGTATGAATTTTAGTAGGTTCTAACAACTTACGAATCGAAAAACCCCAAAAAGCCAAAAAAAAAAAAACAATAAAACCCAATGGACTGTTTTTTAGACCCTGTAAGACTTAAAAGACGACTGTACAGAATTTTTACATCCAATATTTCCTTATATTTAGGATTCTCCGCAACTTTAAACTGGGTTCTTTCGTTGCCATGTCAATAAATAGGCCGTTAAAAGACAATATACAAGACAGAAGACTTCATTTAACCTTTTAATCGTCGTATTTTATGAGTTTCATGTCGTTTTTGCAGTCTCATCCTTTGTGGGTAACCCTGTAAATCGCCTAAGCCGGGAGCTTTTGTATGTAAATCATACGACGTTCATGGATCGGCTCAAAATGGGGACTTGATTTTAAAGTTTCCATTAGGAATATAGAGAATGCATTGTAGTTTAGCTCCTTCTAATTGAAATATTGCGGGCTATGAATAAGTAAAAATCATTATTCTTCCTGCAGCTGCTGCTGTGTTGAAATTGCTTTATAAGTATAATTTGTGCAGAAAAACAAATATGCCATTTTTCTTGTTAAAGAGTTTGATGTGAAAACTTAATATTAGACAACAAGGAAGTAATGAGGGAAGCTTTAGTCTTACTTTTCAATTAAATTTAAACGGATTTGTTATTCTAGGTAGATAATCTTTATCCTACCTTGGTTCTCCGGGTAGATAATCTATATCCTCCCTTGTTTCTCCGGGTAGATAATCTTTATCCTACATTGGTTCTCCGGGTAGATAATCTATATCCTACCTTGGTTCTCCGGGTAGATAATCTATATCCTACCGTGTTTCTCCGGGTAGATAATCTATATACTACCTTGTTTCTCCGGGTAGATAATATATATCCTACCTTGTTTCTCCGGGTAGATAATATATATATCCTACCTTGGTTCTCCGGGTAGATAATCTATATCCTACCTTGGTTCTCCGGGTAAATAATCTATATACTACCTTGTTTCTTCGTGTAGATAATCTATATCCTACCTTGCTTCTCCGGGTAGATAATCTATATCTTACCTTGTTTCTCCGGGTAGATAATCTATATCTTACCTTGTTTCTCCGGGTAGATAATCTATATCCTACCTTGGTTCTCCGGGTAGATAATCTATATACTACCTTGTTTCTACGGATAGATAATCTATATCCTACCTTGTTTCTCCGAGTAGATAATCTATATCCTACCTTGTTTCTTCGGGTAGATAATCTATATCCTACCTTGTTTCTCTAGGTAGATAATCTATATCGTACCTTGTTTCTACGAGTAGATAATCTATATACTACCTTGTTTCTCCAGGTAGATAATCTTTATCGTACCTTGGTTCTCCGGGTAGGAAATCTATATCTTACCTTGTTTCTCCGGTTAGATAATCTATATCGTACCTTGTTTCTACGGATAGATAATCTGAATCCTACCTTGTTTCTCCAAGTAGATAATCTATATCTGCAAGGGCTTTGACTAGAGTTTCTATTTCCTTCTGACTGGTAGATATGTTGGAACCTAGAACCTTCTCCTCCTCAATCAGAACTTCAAGCTCACGCTTCTTCCCATGCACCTCTGCCTCCTGTACATAAGGGAGTTCAACAACTAGTTCGACAACTAGTTCAATAACTAGATTAAAATTTAGTTTAACAAGCAATTTAGCCACTAGTTTAATAACTAGTTCAACAACTAGTTCTACAACTAGTTCAACAACTAGTTCAACAACTAGTTCAACAACTAGTTCAACAACTAGGTCAACAACTAGGTAAAAAATCAACAACTACTTCAACACTAGTCTAACAACTAGTTCAACGACTAGTTTAAAAATTAGCTCAACAAAAAAGTCAAACTAGTTCAACAAATAGTTCAACCACTATCAACTGTATTTATTTAAGTGATTTTTTTTTAAATCAGTTCATTGGGTTATCTCAATACTTTTTAAAACCTTGTCTTTCCGATGGGGAAAATAAGTATTAATTTAAGTTATACATTAAATGATCCCAAAAAAACTTTAAAAATATTGTCCCTAATAAAAGTTCAAGACAGTAAGACATTAAAAACCTATTACCGACTGAAGCTGCAAAATAATAATATTGTTCATTATTCCAACAATCACCATTTAGGATACAAGAATTGAAACCTGGGCTTTGAGGCTTGCCTCCTGTTCATCTGCTTGGCCACGTAGCTTAGTGATCTAAACAAAATAATATTTATTTTATTTCAGAGCTTAAGATCCGGATCCGTTGGATCCGCAAGATTTTGGCTTCCTGGATCCGGATCCTCAAAAATTTGCGGATCCACGGATCCGGATCCAAGGGGTAGAATATCAACCAAAACTGTATAAAACTTTTTTACTCCTAAAAACCCAAATCTGAACTTTTGAAAAAAGGGAGATAATAAAAATTTTCTCGTTTCTGAATGGTTTTACGATAAAAATAAGTGAAAAAATAGAACAAAAAATTGAAAATTATTTGTTGTTAAAAAAATTCAGTAAATCTTAAAGAAATGACCTGGATCCGGATCCGCATCCATTTTTTTCCAGTGCGGATCCGGATCCTGGATCAAAATTAAATGGATCCTAAGCACTGTTTTATTTATATACTTTCTCTTTATCTACCATCACCTTTTCTATCCGGCCCGCGGCGGGGGCCTGGAATTATCAAAATTATAGAAATTCAAATAGAATAAGAGCGAACAGGGTAAAAAGAGGGGGAAAAGAAAGTGAATAAAGGGGGAAATTGAAGAAAAAGGATTAAGTTAATCAGGGATTAGAGATATCAGGACAGATGAAAAATAAATCTGATTCGAACACTGGATAGATCAAAAGATCCACTGCATAGAACAAAAAACAGTTCTATTTTAAGTTGGAATGTAAGATATGCTTGAGGGAATGAAAACCATGGAAAAAGATGTTAGAGTATAAATGAGAATAACGTATATGTAAACTATATATATATATATATATATATATTGCCAGGCGGGGTTTAATCTAAACTTTGTGTTGCGAGGAAGGGACACCCTGGCCGACATGAGCCTCTCCAATTTTTCGTACAATTCCGAGCCTCCACTTTACAACAGCTAGAACTAACGGCATTTTTACAAGAAAGGACGATAAACAATTTGTTGAAAAAAATCTTCTTTTATAGAATTATCTAAATGGAACAATTTTCCAATACAGATATCCAATTTTCCAGTACAGGTATCCAATTTTCCAATACAGGTATCCAATTTCCCAAAACAGGTATCCAATTTTCCAATACAGATATCCAATTTTCCAATATAGGTATCCAATTTTCAAATACAGGTATCGCTTCAATTACAAAATAACAAACATACTTTTTTCTTTATATATCTATCTTTCAGCTAAATAAATGTTTTAAGTTTTGAATAAGAGCTTTTACAGAATACAGCCAAAGCTTCGTACATTATGGCACGTCAGGGAGGCTCATGATGGTACATTATAGCATGTTCAGGAAGGCTCGTGGTAGTCAAGGTGTCCCCTCCTCGTTCTGCAGACACGGCAGACACAAATTCAACTTTAACTCTCGAGTTTACAAACTTAAGGCGAATTTAATATAAAATGTTATGAGGTCATCAGCGTAAATCTTTTTCCACTAGAGGTAAACTTGAAACAACCGTAAGTGACGTTAGAGGGGGGAAGGGGGTTGGTAATCGGCTTAGTCAAGTTTTGACCCATCCACTCTCCAGTCATTTTTACATGATGTAAATTGAATGAAAAATCAGATTTTGTTCGCTTAAAGATTTCAAATTCGATTTTCAAACGTTAATTTTAAATCATGAATTAGGGATCTTCAAGTCACTTGAAATTTGTTTCTACCTGTAACCTCCGCAATTATATCTACAGAATATGTTTTTAATGTTCAATATTAGACAGTTTTCTTCATAATAAAAATATATCAGGATCTTTAAATCACGTAATTGTTCAAAATTCAATCAAGAAATAAGTCGAAATACTCTCCACTTATTCTTTTATTTTTAAGCTAAAAACAATTGTTAGAAAGAGAGACCCAATTTAATAAATACTATTTTTACCACTAACAGGATGACAAAAACTTTGAAGTTCTCTAATGATAAAAAATATTAAATAGTTGGTATCTATATATATATATAAAGTTGTAATCACTATTTGTCTGTTTGTTTGTTTGTCCGATCATAACTCAGGAACCCCTGGACCAATTTGCCTCTAATGTTGATTGGGGAACTTGGTAGACCCACGGGAATGTTTTTAGCTCGGTTTAAAGATTCTAATTTTGAGTGGGTCGACTTTAATAGCAAAAATTTAGTTTCCCGGTAAAAGCCTTCAAGTGCGGGTAAACGGCGGGAGTAACAATGAATAACCTCGGCAGCGCTGGGTTCCCAAGCTAGTCTTCTACATATAAAGTTGTAATCTCTGTTTGTTTCTTTGTCCGATCATAACTCAGGAAACCATGGACTGATTAACCTCAAATTTAGATGAGGGAACTCGGGAGAACCACGGGAATGTTCTTAGCTTAGTTTTTAGATTCTAAGTTGAGTGGGTCGGGGAAATTAGTTAAAATCGTAATTTAATCGGTGGGACTAAATATAACCCCCCAATGTAACGCTGGGTTCCCAAGCTAGTAAACACATGAAGATAATACAACATAATACATTGTTGAAGAAAGCACCCGGGAATGAGCGGTTAATTTAAGAACACAGGAGTGTAAAATAAAAGTTATTGACAAATTATTGAGGCACATGTTTGTGATAAAAAAAAAAATTGCGAGGACTTTTTTTAAACGATGCTTAGTAGACATTTTTATAAGAAAAAATTACCCATTATCAGCTATTTCCCAATAAATATCGTAAAGATAAATTATTATTTATTGGTATGACAATAATCCTTTATTTTATCTTCAATAACCCTCTACTATCTGGTCGCTTTCGGATAAACTAAAACTTCCAGATAATTATTCTACACAAAACAGAAAACACATGCAAATTGCACAAGTGAAAGAAAATCTTCTTGATCGTCAACTTTTCAAGTTCTTAAGATGCAAGGTACTAATAACTCGCTGAGGCGTTTGGGGATTAGTGAGTAGATAAACAAAAACAAAAATTAATATTTTCCCTAGGGACAGTCATGTTAAATAACAACCTCCAAAAGGAAGGAAAAGGAGTTGGTTAATTATAAATTGTTCGAGGGAGCAAAAGGAAAGGAATGAAAGGACATTACCTTGTTTTGCTCTTCTTCTATTGAATCCACCATTTTGCTGGAATCCATGCGCAAACTTTCTATCTAGGGTTACAAAACAAAACAAAATAAAATAAAAAGAACTGAATAAAAAACCAGCTGATAAAGCTACGTAGCGTGCAAATACTAATTATCTCTAGTGCTATTAAAATCACAAAGTACAATACTTAGATCCAATAGAAGTACAATTGTTGGATGTTAAAAAAATAAATTTTGATTGCTTATGATAGTTATTCAACCTGCAAGTCTAGGTATTAATAATCTAATATGTTTGATTCACAATGATACCAATCTTTATTAGGGCCCCTTTATCTACAAAGGCATTATTTCTTGATCCCACTCAACCCCTTAAAGTATTTTTTTCTTTTTGACATTATCCAGAAAATGTATTTTTATTAACAACGAACAGTTTACTATTTAAGGACGACGCACAAAATGTGAAAGAAGGGTTACTGGGGTTACTATTTGCAATTTAGGATAGAACTTAAAAAAACAACTTATGGAGTCAAAGTTTTATTTTCTAAACTTCATTATTTATAGTTTAAGGCCCCCCCTCCCCCACTTTTTGTAAGTTTTATATTATTAACTTCAATTAACCCATTTTTTTTTAATGTTAAAAAATATTATTATTGATATTATCTTTAAATTTTTATCTAATCCTTGAAAATAATTAAAATGCCCAAATATACGCGCTTCATTTCAAGTGAGATTGGTATCATAGAGAATTAAATATTTGCAAGGCAAGTAAAGTATTGCAATACAGGTTTGCACTAACGTGTAGGATCTAAAATCTGCTGAACATTTTCGCAAAAATATGTTTTAAGATATATTTTGGCTGAAAGTGGTTGTTTCTGTATATCGAAAAGAGGTTAAGAAAAAATTTAGAGTCCTTTCTTTTTTTAAAATTCAATGATTAAATTAGAAATATCCCTCTAACTGCAGGTTTAACAGAGAATTATTTTTCATAACATGGCGAATAGGTTTTTTTAAATACTCTTTGAAGAAACATTAGAACAAACATAGAATTAACTTTTGTACACATATAATGTAATATTTGGTTCACTTAGTTCAGCAGATTTTGTCCTGAATACTACAAATTGTAAAAATCCTAACATTTTATCAAAATTTGATTTAATGCATAAACAAGTGCGAGCCTAGGTCAACATTGCAGGTTTCTCATGTCTTGTATAGATTTACTTTGCAATCTTGACTTAGATATAAGGTACGAAGTAAAAGAGAAGAAGTTATGGTGGTGGAGAGGNTGAAATTTGAACTCGGTTTAATTTTCTAATTTACAGAAGCAGTTTAAACTTTTTTTTGAAGGGAGAGGGATACTTATGATGCCATGATTACATAATGTGCCGAAAGGGGCGTATTCAGAAATTTGTCTAGGGGGGGGGCTTAATTTGTTTCTTTCTAGGGGGGCTCAGCATCCATTGGGGCCAAAAAAAAACTTAAAACCATAGATTTCACTGATCTAGGGGGGGGGGCTGAGCCCCAATAGCCCCCGCCCTGAATACGCCTCTGTGTGCCGAGGGTATGATTGAACTGTACCTGTAAACTATGGGATTCTGTTCCCCTGGCCTGAATATTGTACTCCTGGTCCTGCACCTCTCTCTCCAACATCATCTTCTCCTGCATCAATTCCTGGATCTCCTTCGCCATAGCCTCCAGCTCAGGGTTGTTGTACACCGACCTGTTACCGTCACTGCTCGTCGCCGCACCACCCTTAGGGCGCATTGAGGGCGGAACCATGTCCGGCGTGAGTGCCGCCGGCGGGTCCTTACCCGCCTGCTTCTGCTGGACTAGGTACATAGCCAGAGCAAACTGTTCGGGGTTTAACTTTCCTTCTTGTCTCATGTCACACAGATTCCTGGGAGGTAAAAATATCTATTACTATAACAACTATTTAATAGTTTTTTGAGGGTTGTTTATTTGAATTTCCCACTTAAATGATTCACCCTTTGGTTTTTTTTCTTCATTTTTGTCATTTTATAGGATATCAAATTTGGTTATTTCTATTGAACGCACTTATTTTCATTTTGATTAAAAAATTAAATCTCGAATTTTTGGAGCGAGATGATAAAAGAAAGTTTTCCAAAAAAATATATTGAAGACGACATTCTAATTATCCAAATAACTAAAATTGAAAGAAAAAATAAGTATGCCGACATCTGAAATTAACTTTTCGATCGTGGAATTTAAAAAATACGAGGTCGTCATACTTTGTAGTAACCCTCACAAATTTACTACCCTCACCAAGGGGGGGGGGGGGCCCAAA